AGAGAGAGAGAGTTCTCACAGAAGCCAGGCATGCCTCATCCTGGCATCAAGTTCCAGGCCAGTCTGGAATACATGTGGGGTTCTGGATCAGCCTGAGTTCACAGTTAAACCTTGTGTCAAAAATCTAAAATCAAACCAAAACAAGAATTAGAGTTTGTGAGTACTGAACGGAATAGGTTATAATGAGCATCTGTAAGCAACCTGTGCTGAGTAGCCAGAGCTGCTGGTGGCCACGGTGACAGGAAAGGCACAGCTTCCACTTGTCTGTCACCTGAGTCAGTTTGTGCTACTTTGGCTCTACTCTAGTTCAAGATCCTAATCCTTCATGGTGCTTGTGTTCTTGTCATTGTTAACTGATTTCTTACATTTTTTTTCTGTGTACATCATTGAAGATTGAACCCAGGTCCTCACAGATCTCACAAGTGCTTGACAAGTGCTCTGTATTGAGCTCCATTCCCAGCTCTGTAACGGATTTTAAAAGACATGCGGCCCATTCCTCTCCCTCTCCCCGCCCCTCTCTGTGTGTGTGCGTATAGGGCAGAGGTCCATGTTGGTGTCTTCCTCTGTCACTTCTACTGTAGTGTTTTGAGTGGGTCTCTCACTGAATCTGGAGCGCTGGGATCCACTTGTCTCCCAGGGTTAGGATTACAGACTGTCTTAGGGTTTCTATTGCTGTGAAGAGATACCATGGCCATGACAGCTCCTATAAGAAGAACATTTAATTGGGGTGGCTTAGGTTTTCAGAGGTTTAGTCCATTATCATGCAGGGACATGGTGGTGTGCAGGCAGACATGGTTCTGGAGAAGGAGCTGAGAGTTCTTTATCTTGAACCACAGGCAACAGGAACTGAACTGAGACACTAGGCGGGGCTTGAGCATATACAAGCCCTCAATGCCCACCTCCACAGTGACACACTTCCTCTAACAAGGCCACACCTACTCCAAGAAAATCACACCTCCTAACAGTGCCACTCCCTTTGAGCATATGGGGGCAAATTAGATTCAAAGTAGCACACAGACTCAGCTGTCACAACTGACTCTCGCACCTGTGTGACAGGTACTTCACTCACTGCCGCCTCCCTAGCCCCAGAGGTTTTAATGACACAAGCTATAATTAGCCATGTGTTGGTGGCACCTGTAATCCCAGCACTTGGGAGGTAGAGGCGGAGGGATCAGTCTTCCAAGGCCAGCCTCTGTTGTATAGTGAATGTGAGCTTGGTTTGGGCTGCATGAGACCATCTCAAACAACAAGAAAAAGAGAGTTAAACATTTAGAAGGGCTAATTGAGTCTGCCCTGGCAGTGGGCACTCTAATGATGGAGCTTCCCCTCCCCTCTTTGCCTCCTCCCCCAGGAGGCCCTTTTGTAAACGTCTAGAGAACTCTAGAGGAGGAGTTGTCTGCTAGCCCACACCATTGTGTGAACACACCTGCTGTGGATGGCGGGAACTCAGGGAAGACAGCAAATGGGAGAAGACCCATCTGTCACATGACCAGTCAGCCTCCTTTCTAGACTGTTTCAGCTGTCTCTGTTTCCAACTGCTCATCCTGCAGCTCGTGTCATTCACTCTCTCTCGGTTTTCCCTGTCAGCAGCCCCAGTTTTGATCAGTGGTCTCTCACTTGGCACTCAACCAGGACACCTGATAGCATTCTTGCCTGTTGCTAATATTTTAAAAAGATGTCTAATAAAACCTTTTCTTTGGCTGGTACAGTGTGGCTCAGTATCCATCTTATCCTCTTCCGTTTGACTATGCAAATGCTTTGTTTACATTCCTCCTCAGCTCCTCCTGCAGTTGACAGCCACTACCGGGGCGTCACCTTGCTCTCAGCTCTCAAACCCCTTGTGGTTTCCTGTTGCTTAGAGCAGAGACCTGCAGGGTCATCTCTGGGCTGCACTGGCTGTCCCTCTGGGCTTTTGTTTTAAGGTTTATTTGGTGGCAGGAGATAGTTTAGAGGTTAGGAGTACTCACTACTTTTACAGAAGACCTGGGTTCAGTTCCCAGCACCCACAATAGCAGCTCACAACCACCTCTAACTCCAGCTCCAGGGATCTGATGTTCCCTTCCTGCCTCTGCGGCTCCTTCCTGCATGTGCACTCGGGCACATACACACACAGAAATACTATTTAAAAATCGTAAAGGTTTGTTTGTTTTTATCTTCTGTATGTGAGTACTTGCATGTATGAATGTGTACCACATGTGTGCACGATGCCTGAGGCCAGAGAGGACATTAGAGCCCTAGAACTGGAGTTCCGGGTGGCGAGCATTAGCACTGGAATCATCATGAAGGTCGTTAGAGCGTCAGCTCTCGGTGTGACACTGCCCCTCCCATGCTCACCATTCTTCTGGGGTCTTGGTATTCTGGGCTCTTTTCTCCCGAGAGATCTTCAGTTGGTTTCCCCCTTAGAGCCAGCAAACCCCCAGATCTTCAGTGAGGTCCTTACTAGTCCTTATGGGATGGAGCTCTTAGCTGCCTTCCTCCATTGTGATTACAAGCCCCTTGCCCCGATTCATTACTTGCTGACTGTCTTTGGTACTGGTGAATTCTTTATTGTTGAGACCCAAGGGTTGTTTTCTCTTATTTTTGCTATACTCTTTTGCACATCCTTAATCTCATTAATTCTCCTGTCCTATGCCATCCCTGGACACAGGAGGGTCGCAAATCAGGGCATGGACATAGCTGCGAGTTTTCTGCTTCTAGGCCTACTTCCAGCAGGTAGTATGGGATGAGCTTTCGAGGGCAGTGAAGTTCCCCTGTGTAACCTTCAGGTGCTGTTTCACAGTGGTGGTGACCTTCCTGACGCCCGGCTTTTCACTTCAATCTTTTGCTAACAATCTGATAACATGTCTGCAGAATATCTTGCTCACAAGTGCCAATATTGCTCTTTGTTGTATGAGGTAGCTGAGATATCAGCTGGCCGGTCACCTTGGTCACATTGTGAAACAGGTTTGTTCCTTGTTAGGATATGCCTGGAAATCCCCTCTGACTTGGACTAAGCCGCACCATGTTTCCCGTGCAGGGAACAGCAGTTAGACTCTTCTCCAGTCTTTTAGCCATCAGCGGGTTCCCTGGGGTCTCCACACACAGATAGATATGTTCAGGAGGCAGGTGGAGGTAGCAAAAAGGAGTTTACACTAAAGCGTTGGGATTATCCCCATGACCTATCCCTCAGGATTTCCCTCCCCAGTCTCCTGCTGACCTGACATCTCTAACCAGCAAGTATGGTTGAGTCACTTCAGATTCTTGCTACTTTTGAAAAGCAGTATCCAGTGTTTTAAAACAAAGCCTTTTCTTGTCCTTTTTGGAAGCTCTGATGTTCTGAGCCTCCTGCTGGGCAGTCTTTGTTTTTATTATAGTATAATGTGGAGCACTGCTCTCACATGTATTTGTTTATTTTGGTTGCTGTTTTGAGACGGTCTCACTCTGTCCCCCGACTGTCCTGTAATTCACAGTGATCTGGCTGCCCCTGGCTCCTGGGCGCTGGGGTCAAGGGTGTGCGCTCCTGTGGGCTCCTGTGCCACACTTGTAACAATCTTCATTCACACCGTTCTCCCCCTCACTACTATGCTGCCTTATAGATCAACCTCGAAGGCTTGGTTCTGTGTGAGGACTTTGGAAAGGGCCCCGCTGAGATATTGTTTCACTGCTCCGTATACTGGGCACCTTACCTGGGAAGGCTCACTGCGTGGCTGACACTCCGTCCAGGACAGCGGTCTCCTGTTTTACACACACGTCTGCTGCTTGAGGCTCTTGGCAGGGACTCAGCTGGAACTGTGGTCTCCTCACAGCGTGGAAGCTTTGGGGATTTTCCATGCTCGTTTTGTAGTACTCCTTCTGTTTTAGTTGATCATCTATATTGTGTCAAATTCAAGAGGGGAGAAATTATTAGTATAGTTTCCATTATTTTGGTCCTGACCGTTGACTCAAATTTAAGGGTAGGACACACATTCTCCTCTGAATGAAAGACTTGTCAAAGGATTTGCCACATTCTCCTCTGAATGAAAGACTTGTCCAAGGATTTGCCACATTCTCCTCTGAATGAAAGACTTGTCCAAGGATTTGCCACATTCTCCTCTGAATGAAAGACTTGTCCAAGGATTTGCCACATTCTCCTCTGAATGAAAGACTTGTCCAAGGATTTGCCACATTCTCCTCTGAATGAAAGACTTGTCCAAGGATTTGCAGTCTTTGTTTTTGCTTCACCGTATGGTGCTTGTGATGAAAATATGGTTCCCTGATTTCCTATTCTCCACTGCTGGGTGTTGCTCCAACACCTGTGGGTGCTAAAATCTAAATGACCATTTAAAGAATGGTAGTGCCCCCTGGTGTCCAAGTCCAGCTACATACATCTCAATAGGTTTTGTGGTTTGGTTTTGTTTTTGTTTTGAAGACAGAGTTTCTCTGTGTAGCTCTAGCTGTCTTGGAACTCGCTCTGTAGCCCAGGCTGTCCTGGAACTCACAGAGATCCGCCTGCCTCCGCCTCCTGAGTGCTGGGATTAAACATGTGCACCACCACTGCCAGGCCAATGGGTACTTCTTGAAGTGTGGTTTTTCATAACTATAGTAGATAAGAACTTAAGTCATTTTAGGATTACAACTCTAATAAAGGAATAAGGTACTTTATTTAGTTATTTGAGACAAAGTCTACAACTTGCCCTGTAGACCAAGCTGGCCTAGCACTCACAGAGTGCTGCCTGCTCTGGTACTAACGGTGCACCGTGCACCCGCTGATGTTTTGCTTCTCAGATGCATTTCCTAGGGCTGGAGAGGCGCTCAGGGATGAAGGCCTGATAGTGCTCTTCCGAAGGAGCCCATGTCAGGTGGCAGACATCCGTAATTCCAGCTCCAGAGGACCCTGTCCCCTCTTCTGGCACCTGTGGGCACCCCACCCCCTCAACACACACACACACACACACACACACACACACACACACATATGAAAGTAAATGTTTTTAGAAAGCGTTTCTTGAATTTGATTTATTTTTCTGTCTTTTGTCCTTTAGGAAACGTTATTTAATGAAAAGTTCATGCTTGCAGAGTAAACATGGCGGGCTTCCTAGATAACTTCCGATGGCCGGAGTGTGAGTGCATCGACTGGAGCGAGAGGAGAAACACCGTGGCCTCTGTGGTTGCAGGCATATTGGTAAGTGAGGTAGACGTACTGGGGACATGATGCCTTGGCGGTCATCTTCGAAATGAACGTCCGTGTCCTTAGATGACAGTGGCCTTCCAGGGCCGCTTCACCTCACTGCTGCTGAGGATAGGTCATAGTATTATGTCGCCTGCTGGGGTTTCATTTTGTTTATTGAGGGGGAGATTATGTAGTCCAGGCTTGCTTTGCGTGTCTATCCTCCTCTGCCTTGCAGCTGTTGGGGTTGCAGGGTTAGTGTTGCTAGGCAGGCACCTTTTCAGCTGAGCTGAGTCCCAGCCCGCCATGCATGGGTCCATTTGATCTGAGGATGGTTTAGATTTGGTGTCTTTTCTGCTGCAGCATCTGTCACAGCCTCAGAACCCGGTGTCACAGAGTCACTGTGACTGGGTGGGCAGCGGTGACACCTTACGCTTTGTACAGACTGGTGCCTCCGCACTGCAGACTCAGAAAGAAGTCTTCTCTTTTGTTTTGTTGGACTCAAACTCACTGTGTATCCTAGGCTAGCCTTAAGTACTAGGATTGAAGGTGTGAATGACAGAGTGGGCTTGCTTACCTTTCTTTCTGTTTTGCTTTCCTTTTTTTTATTATTATTATAGAAAATGTCAAAACTTTAAAAGAAAGTGGTTGAGAAGGGTGGGGAGGTGGGGAGGAGCTGGGAGGAGAGGAGGAAGGGGAAATGTTGGTCAGAATTTAAAACAAGATTTAAACAGCAGCAGCAGAGTAGTGGTATTCGTGCCTCTCACTTCATGCCAGCCGTCCAGTGTCCCAGCCATCCAGTGTCTGCGTCCCTTGTGTCTCTCGCTCCTCTCCTCCGGCTGAGGGCCCACACCGCTCCTGGGCCTGCCTCTGCTTCCCGAATACCCGACTTGTTTATTCTGTTGTTTTGTAAATCATGACCCGAACAGTCTTACTTTATATCTGTGAACCATTTCCTGCCTCTGAGGTAGAGTAAGTGGAAAAGGACAATTACTAGATACGGATTTATTGATTTATCCAGTGATTAAAGCTCCGCCTGTACTGCCTACTTGCCAAGTATGACTTCACTCGCTACCTGGAGCAGAATGACCCAGAGAAGAGCTGAAAATGGGTCGTTGCCCTTAACAACCTCCTGACTGGCTTGTAGACTTCTGTAAAATCTCGCGCACCTGCCCACCATGTGGTTTAGAGCATAATGTAAAAGTGCAAACAGGACCTGGATCAAGGCCTTCCTGGAGCTGTCCTGGCTTCCTTCCGTCGTGACATCTCCTCTTCCACTCTCTTTGCTGTCGGAGTGCTTATTCAAGAAAGTCTCCAGTAACACCTACTGCATTAAAACAAAACAGATGTTTATCCCCCTTCCCCTGCTTGCTTTGGAGGCAGGGTCTTGGTATATAGATAGCAGAGGCTGGTCTCAAATTTGAGGTCTTCCTGCCTTTACCTCCCAAGGGTTGGAATTACAAGCATGTCCCACCTTGCCTAGCTTTTCTTTCTCTTTTTTTACTCTTTCATTTCCTTCCTTTTTTTTTTTTTTCCTGTTTTTGGATCAGGTCTCACCAGGGCCCTGCTCCCCTGGAACTCACCAAAGCCCAGGCTGGCCTTGAACTTGACATGAAGCTTTGTGTGCTGGGATGACAGTCATGAGCCACCATGCCCAGTCTTTCTCTTTTCTTTTGCTTTAGCTTTCTTTCATCATATGTATTTATTTGTGTGTGTGTGTGCAGGGGGGGATTGGTAGGGTAACTGTGGTGCTCGTGTGCAGGTCAGAGGATAACTTTGGGAACTGGTTCTCTCCTCGTACCGTGTGTATCCCTGGGGTGGGACTCAGGGCCTCAGGGCCAAAGGCACACATTTCCCTGCTGAACCATTTGGCCTCTTTTTCTTTTCTCCACTCTTTTTCACACAAGATCTCATATATCCCATATGCATGAACGAGTTCTGCCCGCTGAGCCGCATCCCATGCAGGAAAGCCTACATTTAACTGATATTTTACTTCATAAAAGAGTGGGGAGCATTTCTATAGATGTTTTCAAATGAATTTTGAACTCTCTTAAACATTGAGATTATGTAATTCTCTTATTTTGTCGTTTGAGACAAGGGCTCTCACACCTGTCCTTCATTTCTCTGGACAGTCTTTGCACCTGTCTGTTTAGGTGTACTCAGCTTGGCTGACGTGGAACCCTTACATTTTATATACTCATGTCCAGTCAGCTACAGGGTGCTTAATTAAACCACATAAACTAAAACAATAGTTGGCTTTTATAGTCTGGGAGCTATGGCAACTGGATGCTGGTCAGTGAGCAGCTGAGTAGAGCGCCTGCTGGTTAAGGAGGCTGCCGGCTGGTTAAGGAGGCTGCCGGCTGGTTAAGGAGGCTGCCGGCTGGTTAAGGTGGCTGCCGGCTGGCTAAGGAGGCTGCCGGCTGGCTAAGGAGGCTGCCGGCTGGTTAAGGTGGCTGCCGGCTGGTTAAGGTGGCTGCCGGCTGGTTAAGGAGGCTGCCGGCTGGTTAAGGAGGCTGCCGGCTGGTTAAGGAGGCTGCCGGCTGGTTAAGGAGGCTCCTATCTGGTTAAGGAGGCTGCCGGCTGGTTAAGAAGGCTCCTGTCTGGTTAAGGAGGCTGCCGGCTGGTTAAGAAGGCTCCTGTCTGGTTAAGGAGGCTAGTCATGAGGTGGAGGGAGGAAACAAGCCATTCCTGATGAGACTCTTCTTACGCCGTCAGAGGTAAAGAGCAGGTAGGCCAAGGGTGCTCACCTTTGTGATCTAGCACCCCAAACACAAAAGCAGCGCTTGCCGCACCTGTGCCCGGGGAGGTAGCCACTACAGAGCGATGCTGTGAGCTTCATGACCTGCCTTCCTGGGCTCTTTCTCAGTTTTTTACAGGTTGGTGGATAATGATCGATGCCGCGGTGGTCTATCCTAAGCCTGAGCAGTTGAACCACGCTTTTCACACATGTGGTGTGTTTTCCACACTGGCTTTCTTCATGTAAGTGTGAAATGATTCTCAATTCAGCATTGCCTTTTGAAAAAAACAGTCTTCCTGACCTTTAATGTTTTTTTTTGACATGATTTATGTTTTATTAAGGATATACATAATAATAAATGCTATTTTAAAAAATATTTATTGCAATTTTCAAAAGCAAAATGCTTAGTTAAATTGATTTATTGCACTAAAGAGATATTTCCATGGAGGAAAACACTGATTAAATCCCATTTCCACCTATCTTAAATATTTCTCAGTCTGAAGAAATAAGTAACTTATTTATATTTTATTGTTCAAATAGTGAGAGAGAGCATGACACATTTGTCTTTATGTATATGGCTAATTATAATCAAACCTATGCCCATTTTCATTCATGTAGGCAAAAATCATAGAAATTCATTATATATGGTAAAAAATATTCCATTTTGTGTGTGTGTTATGTGTGTGTGTGTGTGTATCTTATTCTATTCTACAGGACATCTCTTCACTCTACAGACTACTTTTCCATACACACACACACACACATATATATATATATATATATGACATATTTATTTTTACCCACTCATCTGTTGATGTATCCCAAGATGAACTCCATATTGTAGCTATTGTGAACAGTGCTGCAGAATATGTCGGTACGTAGGTTTATCTGGTATGCTGATTTGATTTATATTGGATAATGATCTAGAAGTAAAGTAGCTGAATCATATGGTACATCAAAGTAGAGCTTTCATTGGACTCTTGCTAGTATTCTAAATAATGGGAGTATCAATTTATGCTCCTGTGGATAGTGCAAGAGTTCTTTCTTTTTTATTTCCTTACTGGCATTTGTTGCTTTAAATATATGCATTTTAACTTGTAAACAACATATCATAGTACATTTTTGATTTATAATTTAATGAGACATTATGATATTGAACAATTTTTATGTATTTTCTGGCAATTTGTATAGTGCATTTTATAAAAATAATTTATTAAGATTAATTAACAAAGTACCCTTTCAGATTATTTAAGCGGGATTCACTGGATTTCTTTGTGTGTGTTTAAAATTTTTTATAGGTTTCAGCATAATTAATATTATTTTTCCTTTTACTTCCGTCCCTCAGAATCTTCCAATATACTCTTTCCTATTCGCCTTCAAATTCATAGCCTCTAATCTATTTGTATGCATATCTTCCTAAACAACTTCTGGACTTTATTGATGCATTCTTCTTTTTTTCTACTTTTTTTGAAGGTTTTATTTTATTTTTATTTTTTTAGGTTTTTGAGACAGGGTTTCTCTGTAGCTTTGGAGCCTGTCCTGGCACTAGCTCTTGTAGACCAGGCTGGCCTCGAACTCACAGAGATCCACCTGCCTCTGCCTCCCGAGTGCTGGGATTAAAGGCGTGCGCCACCACTGCTCGGCGAAGGTTTTATTTTTAATTTTTTAATTTTTTTATGTATAAGTGTTCTGTCTGCTTGTGCACTTGCATACTAGAAGAGGGCATCGGATCCCATTACAGATGGGTGGGTTCATTTCCCTGTGGGTGCTGGGAATGAACTCAGGACCTCTGGAAGGGCGGCCCGTGCTCTTCAGTGCTGCTGACCCATCTCCCCAGCCCTGATGGATTCTTTAGCATGATGGATTTATCCCTCTGTGTGACCATTCTGGCTGTTCTGGAACTCCCAGAGATCCACCTGCTGGGATTAGATGTGTGCTCCGCCATACCTGGCCTAACAGTTTTATTTTATTTATGTATTTAGTTACTGATTCATTTATTTTGAGATAGGATCTTTCTATGTAACCTTATTGGAACTTGCTATGTAGACTCGGAAGGTTATATTATGAAGGCTAAAGCTGCTTACTCTCCATAAAGCGACTGTAAGTAGCTCTTCTATTAGCATACCTGTCCTCCCCCCCCTCCCTCTGTTTAACCTGCAGCCTTATTCATACTGTACATATGCTCTGACACTAAGCTATACCCCGCTCCTATTGGTCTTTTCAATATTTTTAAAAATTATTTTTATTTTATGTGTATAGGTGTTTTGCATACATGTATGTAGGTATGCCACATACCTGCAGTATCCATAGAGGTCAGCAGAGGGCACTGGATCCTCTGGAGCTAGCGTGTGGGTACTGGGAACCAAACCTGGTGTTTTAGCCAGTGCTCTCAACTATTGAGCCATCTCCAGCCCTACCTGTTTAGTTCTTCATTATAATGAAAACTTGAAAATGGGATAACGAACCCTGAGTCATCTATATATACTTGTATGAAGTAGATAATAAAACGAGAAACTAAGTGTGGTGGCTCACACCTTTAATCCCAGTGTTTGGGAGACAAAGCAGGTGGATAGATCTCTGTGAATTGGAGGCCAGCTTGGTCTATATTAACAGGGCTGCAATAGTGGGACCCATCTCAAAAGAGAGAAGAAAGAGGAGAGGAGGTTAGCTGCCGTTTCCTGGTCTCTGGGACAGGTGATGAGCTAAGTGTGTTTCTGGGTGTGCTTTAGGGGAAACAAAAATAATAGTATTTCTATGCACTTGCGTTTCTGTTTTGTTAACTACCTAGCTGTCAGATGTTGTCCCTAGTTGGGAAATAGTCATTTTTCTTCTAAATGATGTGCAATCCCGGTGTGTGTTGTCCTGACAGGAGCGCTCACTGGCTGGTTTTGTGTCGTTCTAGGATAAACGCCGTATCCAACGCGCAGGTGAGAGGCGACAGCTATGAGAGCGGCTGTTTGGGACGGACAGGTGAGGCCCCTGGAAGGGAGGACTGCTCCGGAATGTGGAGAGAAGTCAGAGCTCCTCAGGAGTCTTTTCCGCCTTTAGTTTTGTGTGTGTGAGTGCTTTGCCCGAATGTGTGTAAGTGCCCTCTGTGCAGTACCTGGTGGCAAGCAGGCCAGGAAAGGATGTCAGATCCCTGAAACTGAGGTGGGGACAGTTGTGAGCTGCCACATGGGTGCTCGGAACGGAACCTGGGTCTTCTGCAAGAGCAGCAAGTCTGCTCAGCAGCCGCTCCATCCCCCCAGCCCTCACCTTCATTTTTAAGACAGGATCGTGGAGCTCATCAGTGTGGGTGGCAGTGGGCTCCAAGGTGTTTCCTGCTACCCTGTGCTGGGGTACACTCAGTACTGCTGCACGTGGGGTTTATTAGTGTGGGTGCTGGAGGTCTTGTCCACAAGTCCTCGTGCCAGTGCGGCAAGCCGTCCACTGAGCCCTTGTTTAGAACCCATGGAGTGGTACCACCACACAGGGCGAGTTTCTCATCTCAGCCGTCTAGAAACTCCTATGTGGATGTGCAGGATGCATTTTCGGGAGTCTTCAGTCTCATCAGACTGGCAGGCAAGATTGGCCATCACTCCTGCTTCCTAAAAATGGGTTGAATCCACTTGACTGTCCAGAACTCTGGGCTGAAGAGACACTTGTGCCCTGAACTCAGCAAGAGCGTGTAGTGCAGGGCATCTTCCTTATAGCCGCAGAGCAGCCGGACTGTCCCTAAGGGCAGCTGCTGTGTTGGAGGTTCGGGTGTGACTGTCCCTAAGGGCAGCTGCTGTGTGGAGGTTCGGGTGTGACTGTCCCTAAGGGCAGCTGCTGTGTGGAGGTTTGGGTGTGCTGTTAGAAGCAGACTCAGGGGACCCTGGTCTAAATCCACCCCTGTTTGCCGGAGGTGGCCATCTGATGCACCAATTATTTGATTATGTGTACAACAAGTGACCTTTCTTTTTTATTTTTTATTTTATCTTATTGATATTTATTGAGCTCTACATTTTTCTCTGCTCCCCTCCCTGCCTTCCGCCTCTCCACTTCAATCCTCCCCCAAGGTCCCTATGCTCCCAATTTACTCAGATCTTTTTCTACTTTCTACTTCCCATGTAGATTAGATCTATGTAAGTCTCTCTTTGTGTCCGCATTGTTGTCTAAATTCTCGGGGATTGTGATTTGTAGGCTGGCTTTCTTTGCTTTATGTTTAAAAACCACCTATGAGTGAGTACATGTGATAATTGTCTTTCTGTGTCTGGGTTACTTCACTCAAAATAATGTTTTCTAGCTCCATCCATTTTCCTGCAAAATTCAAGCTATCTTTATTTTTTTTGCTGTGTAGTACTCCACTGTGTAAATGTACCACATTTTTCTTATCCATTCTTCGGTCAAGGGGCATTTAGGTTGTTTCCAGGTTCTGGCTATGACAACCAATGCTGCTATGAACATAGTTGAGCACATGTCCTTGTGGCACAATTGAGTATCCTTTGGATATATACCCAAAAGTGGTATTACTGGGTCTTGAGGAAGGTTGTTTCCTAATTTTCTGAGAAATTGCCACACTGACATCCAAAGGGGTTGTACCACTTGCATTCCCACCAGCAATGCAGAAGTGTTCCCTTTTCCCCACAACTTCTCCAGCATAAGTTCTCATCAGTGTTTTTGATCTTGGCCATTCTTATAGGTGCAAGATGGAATCTCAGAGTTGTTTTGATTTGCATTTCTCTGATGAGTAAGGATGTTGAACATTTCCTTAAGTGTCTTTCAGCCATTTTAGATTCCTCTGTTGAGAGTTCTCTGTTTAGGTCTGTACTCCATTTTTTTTTATTGGATTATGTGATCTTTTGGTGTCCAATTTCTTGAGTTCTTTGTATATTTTGGAGATCAGACCTGTGTTTGATGTGGGGTTAGTGAAGATCTTTTCCCATTCTGTAGGCTGTCGTTTTGTCTTGTTGACCATGTCCTTTGCTTTACAGAAGCTTTTCAGTTTCAGGAAGTCCCATTTATTGTTTCTCAGTGTCTGTGCTGCTAGGGTTATATTTAGGAAGTGGTTCCCTGTGCCAATGCGTTCAAGTGTACTTCTACTTCCTACTTTCTCTTCTATAAAGTTCAGTGTGGCTGGCTTTATGTTGAGGTCTTTGATCCATTTGGATTTGAGTTTTATGCATGGAGATAGATATGGGTCTATTTTCATTTTTCTACATGTTGATATCCAGTTATGCCAGCACCACTTGTTAAATATGCTTTCTTTTTTTCCATTTGATATATTTTGCTTCTTTATCAAAGATCAGGTGTTCAAAGATGTGTGTATTGATATCCGGGTCTTCTATTCGGTTCCATTGTTCCTCCTGTCTGTTCTTATGCCAATAATAGGCTGTTTTCAGTTCTGTAGCTCTGTAATAGAGTTTGAAGTCAGGGATTGTGATGTCTCCAGAAGTTCTTTTATTGTACAGGATTATTTTTGGCTATTCTGGGTTTTTTGCTTTTCCAAATTAAGTTGAGTACCATTCTTTGGAAGTTTTTGAAGAATTTTGCTGGGACTTTGATGGGCAGCAAGTGACCTTTCAATTATGGTTTAATAAATCAGTTTAGTGAAATTCTTGTCAGAGCCTGACTCCTCAAATAGTGGTTTCTCTAGAAGTAAAGAGGTAACTTCTCTTCTTTTCCTCTTTCTGAGATGTCTAACCCTTTTTAGCTTCTTTGTTTTGGTGTGAGTGCGTGCGTGCTTTAAATCTTCACGAAGCTAAGCGGTCCAGCAGGAAAGCACGTGATGCGCACCAGGCAGCCCTTTGCAAAGCTGCACATTTGTAAGATGCTGCAGAGCTGCGAGGGAGTGGGTCCTGAAGCCTCCTCTCCCCGCAGGTGCCCGCGTCTGGCTCTTCATCGGCTTCATGCTGATGTTCGGCTCACTCATCGCCTCCATGTGGATCCTCTTTGGTGCTTACGTCACTCAGAGTAAGTGTGCACCCTCCTTCATGTCACTCAGAGTAAGTGTGCACTCTCCTTCACGTCACCAGTGCAGTGCACCCTCCTTCACGTCACCAGTGCAGCCCCTCCTTCACGTCACCAGTGCAGTGCACCCTCCTTCACGTCACCAGTGCAGCCCCTCCTTCACGTCACCAGTGCAGCCCCTCCTTCACGTCACCAGTGCAGCCCCTCCTTCACGTCACCAGTGCAGCCCCTCCTTCACGTCACCAGTGCAGTGCAGCCTCCTTCACGTCACCAGTGCAGTGCAGCCTCCTTCACGTCACCAGTGCAGCCCCTCCTTCACGTCACCAGTGCAGTGCACCCTCCTTCACGTCACCAGTGCAGCCCCTCCTTCACGTCACCAGTGCAGTGCACCCTCCTTCACGTCACCAGTGCCATTGTTGAATTAGGTTAAATTCTTCCTCTGTGTGGAGACCCATCCCCTTGTGCCCCAAACACTGAAAATAGGTTTCTCTTGCCTCGTTTGCACTGAAATCTGACCCGAAAGGACATGTGGCTCATGTGGTCTTTACCACGTTGACTCGGAGTGGACTTGAGTCAGGTGTATTTGGCGGTGAGGTGCCGGGGCTGCTGCATAATATCCATTTGCTTTTCGTTTGTGTCCAGACTAAGTTAGAACTCGGAGGACAAAGACAGTGCCGGGCAGCTGCTTCTGTTGGTTTGCTCCGAGAACAGACGAACTGTTTCCTGTTCCTCTAGTGAAAATGGGAATAAGCCAGCATTCCCATGAAGGGCCGGGAACTTTGTAAAGTTGTGCTCGTTCCTGTGTCCTCATCTTAAGACAGCTCACAGTGAGAAGCACCTCAGTTACTGTCTCTTCTGATTCGATCAGTGGTGCTCATTCCGTACACTCCTCTGCTTAGAAAGTGAGTGGAGTATTTCCGGGGTCATTTCTGACATATTTCAAAGTTCAGCAGACAGCCTTTCTTGGGACTGTTGATATTTATAATAGCAGCCACCATTTAGTGTACATTGAACATCTCTAATCTGTAAATTTGAAATCCAAAAATGCTCCAAAATTGGAAGCAGGGGTTCTGAGCTGTGACGTGACAGCACCCATGTTCCAGTCTGTCCCTGACCTTGTGTGCTGGGTTGCAGTCCAAACAGGGGGACTAAACCTGGTGTGGTGGTGCACACCTTTAATCCCAACACTTGGGAGGCAGAGGTAGGTGGATCACTGTGTGTTCAAGGCAGTCTGGTCTACCAAGTGAGTTCCAGGACAGCCAGGACTACACAGAGAAACTCTGTCTCGAAAAATAAAACCAAACCAAAACTAAACTAAAGTAAAACAGGCAACATAATTGAACTTCATGTTGGGTCCCAACTGAACACTTGGTCCCATTCCCGAGCTATGCATATGCAGCTGTCCCCAAATCTAAAAGCTGAAATCCGATCCCAAGCGTTTTAGATAAAGTGTCAGATAAGGTGAACGCATCTGGTATCGCTCAGTGGTCCAAATACTGTTGCAAACATTACATTTAATCCCACTCCTGTATTGTGGGCACTGTTAGAATGCCTGCACTACAGAAAAGGAAGTTGAGACACTGAGGTTTAGTAACCTGCTCAAGGTGGTGCATTTAGTCAGTAACAGAGCTAGGGTTCAGCACCAAGAACTCAGCTCAGACTTGGGGCTCTCCAGCTGACCTGGTGTTTCGTTTCCTGTGCTCTCAAAAGCTTGAAATGTAAGCATGGGCAGTGGTCAGTCAGTGAATGTAATATCAGGAATAACTAACGCCCTTGTAAGAGTCTGTGCTGGCCCTGCCAGGCACAGGTGGTTTACTTTCTTGTCACTGGTTTTTGTTTTGTTTTGTTTTTAAGACAGCACCCCGGTGTTTCCCATGCTGAACTCAGCTTCCCGGGCTGAAGCGGTCCTGTGCTTCAGCTTCCCACAGCAGTAGAAGCATGGTGCCCAGTTATAACAGCTGTGATACGGCCTGAGCCCTGTGAGTTAGACGGCGAGAGCCTCATGAGGTCACTGACGTTTATCTAAAGTAATCTTTTAGGGAATGAAATGTTGTAATATGAGTGGCAGGGCTGTGTCCCCAGCACCCCAGCCGCCTGGCTAGCTTATACCTCAAAATAATTACAAGGACACTGTATTCTTTTAAACACTGCTTGGCCCATTATATCTAGCCTCTTCTCGGCTAACTCTCGCACCTGGACTAGCCCATTTCCAATCATGTGTGTAGCACCCCAAGGTGCACTTACCGGGAAGATTCTAGCCTACGTTCATCCTGGGTCGGAGCTGAATCGCATCTGCCTCAGAGAGCAGAGCTATTGCATCTGCCCAGGAGAGGGGAGCATGGCGACTCTGCTCCAGAGAGCAGAGCTGTTGAGTCTGAGCTCACTTCCTTTTCCTCCCAGCATTCTGTTCTGTTTACTCTACCCACCTATGTTCTAACCTATGAGGGCCAGCCAAGCAGTTTCTTTATTTTTTTAACCAATGACCTTCCTCCATCAATGATTTGTTTCCTTGTGGACACACAGAATGCGTCACGCTGAATGGCATGGGCCCTGCGGCTGTGTTCCCTTTAATCTGTTTCATTCTTGTTTGCAGATATTGATGTTTATCCTGGACTAGCTGTGTTCTTTCAAAATGCTCTTATATTTTTTAGGTAAGTTGTCTAATTTCCTTTGCTCTCTTTTATTTTTTTTATTATCATTTATTATTATTATTGTTATTATTATTACAAATTTTCACCTCCTCACCTCCTCCTATTTCCCTCCCCCTTCCCTCATTCCCCCTCCCCCTTCCTCTCCAGTCCAAAGAGCAGTCAGGGTTCCCTGCCCTGTGGGAATTCCAAGGTCCTCCCCCCTCCATCCAGGTCTAGGAAGGTGAGCATCCAAACAGACTAGGCTCCCACAAAGCCAGTACGTGCAGTAGGATCAAGGATCAAAACCCAGTGCCATTGTCCTTGGTTTCTCAGTCAGCCCTCCTTGTCAGCCACGTTCAGAGAGACCGGTTTGATAGATTTATTTTTATCTGTGTGCATGCATGAGTGCCTGTATGAAGAGGCCTCAAGAGGGCGCCAGACCCCCAGCAACTGGAAATTGCAGGTGGTTGTGCCGCCCACCGGTGTGGGTGCTGGGAACTGAATCCTGGTGCTCTGCAAGGGCAGCCAAGGCTCTAACTGCTGAGCCATCCTCCCAGCTCCAAGTTGCCTGATTTCTCACCTACACTTAAAGCATTTACAGAAATGTCCACAGCGTTGTAAGAGTGGCGTGGCCATGGAACATCAGTGAAATCCTGCCACCAAGACCTCACTCATTGTCATTTAAGGATATGTTATCTTTAAGTTGCTGCCACTGCTTAAATGAGTGCCAGCTGTACTCTCCTTCATAGGCGAGACATACTCAGAGGAGAAAATGCAGAGAAGGAACTTAAATCCAGACTGTAGATTTAGTCCATAGCCTGTTCTTTGCTTAGCAAAAATCATGCAGATTGATAAGAAAGAGAATAATTCAGGGCTTGAGGTGCACGCCTTTAATCCTAGCACTCTGGAAGCAGAGGCAGGAGAACTTGTGAGTTCGAGGTCAGCCTGGTCTATAGTGTGGGTTCAACACTTTGTTATTGGCCAGTAAATGAGGCTCTAGATATATTAACACTAGGTGGTGATGACTGCTGCTCTTCCTCCCCTCCCTCCTCCTCCTGCTCCTCCCCACTTCGCCTTTCCCTCCTCTTCCCCTCCTCTGCCTCTCCTTCCTATGGTTTCCCCCTCTTCCTCTTTCTCCTCCCGTCCTCCCCCACTTCACCTTCTCCACTTCTCCCCCTTCCTCCTTTGCATCTTTCTCCTTCCCTCTCCTTTTTCTCTATCCCCACCTGTAGTAAGAGGAAGATGTTTGTTCATTTCCTAGCCACCCATACTCTCAATAACCACACAGAAACTATATTTAAATTACTGCTTGGCCCATTAGCTCTAGCTTCTTATTGACTAACTTTACAAATTAATTTAACCCATTTCTATTCATCTGTGTATTGCTGCAAGGCTGTGGCTTACCCAGTAAAGTTCCAGCATCAGTCTCAGGTGGGGCTACATGACTTCTCCTTGACTCTGCCTTCCTTCTCCCAGAATTCAGTTTAGTTTTCTCCATCTAGCTCTGTTCTACCCTATTAGGCCAAGCCAGTTTCTTTATTCATTAACCAATAAAAGCAGCATAAATACAGAAGGATTTCCTACATCACCTGCCTCCCCATAATGCAGGGTCTTTTTGTATTGCCAAGACTGGCATTAAACTCCAGGTTCCCATAATCCTCCTGCCTTGGCCTAGCAGCTGGGACTAAAGGAGCCATCATGCCCATTCAGCTCTTACATTATACTTGTAGAAGTCAGTGCAGCTCGGTGGCTCCCTGCCCTGTGCCTGGCTTTCCTGTTGTCTTCTCTCCATGCCTGTGTGGCTAGTTTCTGATGTTCTGTCTTGAGGCTCACTGAGCTGAGCTTCAGTGTCCAGGCGGATGCTCATTCCAGCCTCTGTGCGTTTAGCCCTAGAAGCTCAGTTTAGGTCCTTGTCTCTCCTGAGCATGCTGTGTTTCTGTTCGTGTGACTACCCCTGACCATGTAAACCATTTTTGATGACCTGCACTGTTTTCATTCATTGATTATTTCTAGTTATTTTTCTGTTTGGGGCTTTTTTTTCATTTGCAGTTTTCTATGCAAATTGTTGGGGTTCTGTTCTGATACAGTGTTTTTGAGCCCAAGTTTCACATATCCCAAGCTGGCCTCAAGCTCACCGTAGCTGAGGATGACCCTGCACTCCCTCCCAGGATGGGCTGACGGGCTCAGATTCTCCTCTGTTAGGATCGACACCACACGCCGTCCTTTACAGCCTGTTTTCATGGCTGAACTTTGACATGTACCCGTTGTCTCCCGCATTAGACAGTTTGTTCCACGAGGAGCAAATTTGTTCATTTTGAGTCAACCATAACCCATCTCTTAGCCAGAGGCTCTGTGCAGTCCAGTGTTTTAACCCACAGTCGTTGCTGAGGAACGGAGAATTACAGTCTGGTCTGTTTTAGGTGCTTCTGTGACCAAGCATAGATAAAGATGCCCTTAGAGCTGTAAAGTGGCCTTGGACCCACGACTGCCACAAGGCTGCCCCTCTCTCCAGCATATTTCCTACATGGTAGCTGCCTAGGCATTGTGGGGTGCTCTTCACCCCCAGACACCACGGTGCAGCTACTTCACAAAAAAAGGGCATCCCTCACAGCGCGCTGGTCTTGCATTTGGTTTTAGACGTTGATAAACGGTCAGTGACGTCACTGATGGGCATGTCTGTCAGAGCCACGTAGATGTCACCTCACAGCTCTGTTCCTCCCTTTCTAGCACTCTGATCTACAAATTCGGAAGAACTGAAGAGCTCTGGACTTGAGATCGCCTCTCAAATTGCACCCTCCTCTTGTTCAGTTCTGTTCTTAGATCACTTTATCTCTGGTATAATTTACACATTGCCAAATGGAACAGATTGTACACTGAGTGTTTGATTTCTTCACAGTTTTATGCTCTGAGATTAGAATTGCTCTTGCAAAATGTCTGTCTTGGTTTTTCATTGGCGGACAAGTTAATATGTACATAATCCACAACCACACAATACATAATACGTGATGCTGGATGTCAGGGTTTATTCCGAGGCGCTCAGATTAGTATGTGTCTTAAGCTGGGGTTCTATTGTCTTGGTGTTTAGAGGTAAATACTCTGTCTTGGTGTCTGATGTTGGACAGTGAACAAAATGCACAGCTCCACGTCTCTGCAGTGGCCTGAGCTGTCAGAGAAGGCGTGCACATTTGCCAGCTGTAATTTATTTTGGCTTGGAAATGAGACTTTTTTAAAAGGAAAAATGTTTGTGTGTATGTATATATTAGAGAACTGGACTTTTTATATGAAGACTTTTTAAATGCTCAAAGGCCTAGTTTGAAGCCCCCTTTAAAAAGAATTCCTCACCCGTGACTTTTATTTGAGAAGGGATAACACTCTCAGAAAAGCTCTATTTGTTGGAGTTAATGTAAAAGGACTGCAGGTGGCTGAACAGTGTGCTCCCGGTTGTCTCCTATGGCTCAACACCATCCGGCATCACACGCTCAAGCAGTGACCCTGACATACATGTCACAAAAAGTGGAATAATTAGATTGCTTCCTGAAGGGCCACAGCCATTTGATTCTCCTAGCCCTTGGCTCCCATGCTCTTGTCTCTGGCTTCAGGTGACCAGATGCTGCACAACAGCTCGTGTGCTGAAAGCCACGCTCCACCCCGGAAGCCCCTCCGCCACGTCTGAGTGCTTGCCCCATGTCTCTTCCTCCAGGCTTTCCTTTGTTGTGAAGATTCTGTATTGCACTCTTAACCCCAGAGGGATTTTTATAAAACCTTTTGCAGAAAACAATAATATTAGTGGTAGAATATGCAACTTTCAATGCAGGCCTTACGTTTCTTAGCTTGCCTCCCCGAGAGAGAGGCCTCACCAAGCATAGCGCGTGAAGCGGCTGCGGATTGCTGCGCCTTCATCTAGATGCGTCTCGCTTCGTGACTCCGCTGTCAGCCCTTCAAAATGCTGCTTTGTCTGGCTTCCGGAACACGGCGAAGCTAATCACACATTTCCATTCTTAGAGTCTAATGCAATAAATATTCCTCGTACCCGCACTGTACAGCTAGGTGTGCTGGGGACATGATCCGCAGCCCCGCTCTCTGTTATTCTCCATTGTCCCAGTTAACCCTATCCAAGACACATGACTTCAGCACGCCAGTGTGGAGGTTTATGAAGGGCAGCCCTGAAGACCGACTGACAATGCTGCTGGCTTCTTTTGTGTTCATGAATTTTGGTTTAGTTGTGAGCATTCTGTTGATTTTCTCTGTTACCTCAATAAATGAGAGACGCTGTTAGCGCCCTCTCCCAGGTGTTGTGATCAGTAGAAGAAGCCTCGGTGATCCTCTAAATGCACATGATTCTCCTAATAAAAGTCTTTATTTGTTACTCAACTTTAGACTGTCGAATCTGCGTTTTTTGTGTGCCGGAGCGTTCTGTAGGCCATTCTGAGATCCTCACCATGTTATTTTTTGGTTCTTTTGGGGGAGAGTCTCACTTTGTAACCCTGGCTACCCTGGAACACAAAATGTAGCCCAGGCTGGCCTTGAACTCACAGAGATCTGCCTCCTCTGCCTCCCAAGTGCTAGGATTAAAGACATGGGCCACCACACACAGCCTGTGTTACTGTGTACGTGTGCATATGTGTGCATGTGTGTGGAGGCCAGAGGTCTCTATCTTGTTGTTTGAGACATTCCCTCCCTGGGAGCTGGGGATCGCAAATGAGACTAGGCTGGCTGCTCAGTAAGAGCCCAGCTGTGTCTGCCTCCCCAGCACTAAGATTGCCAACATGTGCCATCGAGCCTCGGTTTACTTGGGTTCTGTGGATCAAACTCGAGTCCTCATGCTGCTTTGGCAGACTCTTTACCAACTGCTCTGTCTCCTTGGCGCCCTTGTTGCAATAACTTTCCTGTTGCCACTGATGAAGACACACCGATTTCCCCCTCTAAGTACTAGTCTGCACGAACATGCCAGGCTTTGAAGATTGAAAGATGGATGGTATTAAACCACATAGCTTGGTCTCTTGAGTAGCAAACTCTGGAGTGTTTGTAATGGACAGGTTGAATTTATGTTCTCTGTGTTTCTCCCTCATGGAAGAAATATTACAGTCACAGTGTCAATTTAGGATCACTTAAAATATATTTTTTATTACTTGATTTTATGTGTGTGTGTGTTTCTGTGAATGGATGCATATGAACCACATGAGCATCTGGTGCCAGAAGAGGCCAGAAAATAGTGTCAGGTCCCCAGAGCTGCAGGTGATTGTGAGCAGCTGTGAGCGTGTAAGGACAGTGTCAGGTCCCCAGAGCTGCAGGTGATTGTGAGCAGCTGTGAGCGTATAAGGACAGTGTCAGGTCCCCAGAGCTGCAGGTGATTGTGAGCAGCTGTGAGCGTGTAAGGACAATAGTGTCAGGTCCCCAGAGCTGCAGGTGATTGTGAGCAGCTGTGAGTGTGTAAGGACAGTGTCAGGTCCCCAGAGTCGGAGCTGCAGGTGATTGTGAGCAGCTGTGTGCGTGTTACGAGCCCAACTTAACTCCTCTGCAAGAGCAGCCAGTGCACTTAACTGCTGAGCCGTTTCTCCACACCCAGCTCTTTGTATTACTCATTTGAGATTTGATCATTTCATAGGAAACAGTCTTTGCCACTCACACAAGTGTATCCCAATTTTTCCATGTACTCTCCCGAGTACTCGATTATTCTGATCAAAATTATGAAGGGTTAGGCTTCTTTTAGTATTATTTATTTACATGTATGTGTTTATGTGTCTCTTGTCATTCTGTATATCTGTCTGTGTGCTTGCCTGACTGCATATATATCTCTGTGTTTCTGTGTATGTGTTGTCCTTCTGTGTCTGTATGTCTGTCTGTGTATGTAGGGGCGTCTGTCTGTGCAGGCCAGAGGATCACCTGGGGCAGTTAGTTCTGCTCAGTACAGCCTGGCTCACAGAACAGGATTCATGGGCACCACTTTTAGCTCTTTTCCTTCTGTGAGGAAATTGGAAGTTGCTGTGATTGACAGGCCCAGTTGAAGGAAACTGGACACTGATTTCATTGTAGAATCCTTTCTTACCTTTAGGAAATTGTGACATGGGTTTTCTTTTCATATCTCATCCCTAGTTTCTTAGAAATAGTCTTTTATTATGTTTTTATTTTCTTATAAATTAGTTTTGGGTTGGAGAGATGGATCAAATGTTAAGAGTACACCGATTGCTCTTCTAGAGGTCCTAAGTTCAAATCCCAGCAACAACATGGTGGCTCACAACCATCTATAATGAGATCTGGTGCCCTCTTCTGGTCTTCAGTCATACATACAGACAGAACACTATAACACTATACATGGTAAATAAGTCTTTAAAAAAATTATTTGTTTGCACAGACTGTTTGATATTCAAAGAGCTTACTTTTTTTTTTTTTTTGGTTTTTTGAGACAGGGTTTCTCTGTAACTTTGGAGCCTGTCCTGGAACTAGCTCTTATAGACCAGGCTGACCTGGAGCTCACAGAGATCCTCCTGCCTCTGCCTCATGAATGCTGGCATTAAAGGAGTGTGCCACTACACCCAGTTATATTGTTATTCCTTTCTCCCTCCCTTCCTTTTCATTATGTAGACCAGGCTGTTTTGAAGCTCATAGAGGTCTACCTGCCTCTCTCTCCAAAGTGCTGTAATTACAGGTGCGTGCCATTACACAAGGCTGTAGTTTCTTAAAAACAACAACAAACACTGTGAAAGGATTAAAATAAGCTAACTAACATGTCACCATGACCACTCCAGGTGTCCTCCACCTCCGTCACCATGACCACTCCAGGTGTCCTCCACCTCCGTCACCATGACCACTCCAGGTGTCCTCCACACCTCTGTCACCATGACCACTCCAGGTGTCCTCCACCTCTTTCTTCCCCTTAAGAAGCAAACCGTCCAAGTACACTCCATTTTCTCCCTCGGTTGGTGCTCAGTCCCAGTGGACGCTGTTTAAAGAGTGCTGAACAGTTGTCCCTAGCAAGGGCACAACTGGGTTCCTGAGAGGCACTAGTCACAACAGTGTCCTTAAGTGATCAGCTTTGTGGGTGTTTCACTTTGTTTAATAGATACTGTTGCCAGGTGGTGGTGGCCCACGCCTTTAATCCAAGCACCTGGGAGCCAAAAGCAGGGGGATATCAGTGAGTCCAAGGCCAGCCTGGCCTATGGAGGGAGTTCCAGGACAACCAGCACTGTTACACAGAGAAACCCTATCTCAGAAAAAAAAATAGTGTTGATGTGACACAGAGAAACCTGGTCTCAAAAAAACCAAAACAAGCCGGGCGGTGGTGGCGCACGCCTTTAATCCCAGCACTTGGGAGGCAGAGGCAGGCGGATCTCTGGGAGTTCGAGGCCAGCCTGGTCTACAAGAGCTAGTTCCAGGACAGGAACCAAAAGCTACAGAGAAACCCTGTCTCGAAAAATCAAAAAAAAAAAAAAAAACAAAACAAAATAGATACTGTTGACATGTTACATTGGACCCACCATCACCACCTTCTTGTAGCTATAAGCTCTAGACAGAACTTGAACTCAGCCCTCAGAGACCCTGCTAAACACCAACAAGAGCAAAAGCTTAAAGGACACGTTCCCAGAGAGACCAGACACCTGTATCCACCACAGAGCAGAAAGAGTCCCCCCCCCCGCCCCCCGCCTCTTCAGGCACCTCAGATCACTCTGCACATATCCTTAAAGGATCAGGAAATTGCCCCAAATACTGACTATGGGGTCACAAATACATTTCAGCAAGTAGACTGTTGGCCATTGTGGGTCCGAGTAACAGGGTGTGTAGTGACCGCATGCGTGCACACTGGCACGCGCACACACACACCGCTGGCACGCACACCCCCCCCCACCGGCACGCACACACCCCACCGGCACGCACACACACTCCATTGGCCTTCGTCCCTCCCACACTGCTTGTTCTCAGCATTCCTGTGCTGGGCCACCATCCCTCCTGCATTTTATGGCTGCCAATTTAATCACCTGGCTTCTGGGCAGCCTGAGTCATTTCTGCTGCACACAGATAGCTGGGGAGACAGAGTGTCCTATATTCTCTCCTCTGCAGTTGTCTTGGGTTCAGAGAGATCAAGGCATTTGTTAGTGACTCAGACTTTTTCAAAACTTCCACGATCCCGTTTGAAGAAAGAAACTGGAAAGCCCTTTGATGTCAAGGAGATTGACCTCCATTCCACCCCTGCCCTCTGCCCCCCCCCCCCGCCCGTTTCCTCTGTCCCCTGCCAAGGGCCACCTGCCTCATGCCCCTCTTCCCTGCCAAAGGACGTAGAGTGCAGTTCCCCACGACGTTTCATGTTCCTCGAGCCAAGCTGGATTTCCCTCCTGCCATGAACAGTGTGAATTTTCAGATTAACATTTTATTTTGAATAACTAAAGTCTTACAGAGAAGTAGCCACAACAACAAAATTCCATGTGACCTTGTTTTGTGAGAAGTGTTTGACACTATGTTGCAGACTGATGTCTGAAATGCTTCTGTGTAGGTCCTAACATACAAGGCACAGACAGTGTGTCTGTTATTTAAGCAGGAAATGTGTTGGTGACTTCGAGGGAGCTGTCTTTATCTCATCCACCCATAGGCTAATGCGGGTTAGTGCTTGGTCCAGCCAGCTGGCATGGGCTGAGCAACCCTGCCTTCTCCTATACTGTGCCCAGCCCTCCCTGACTCCTAGGAGCATGCGCCCAAGAATGCAATACCTCCTCTTAACATTTGTGACCCCCGACCTCTATAGCATAAACCTTGATGATGGGAGTGGCTCTCTTTGTGGCGGTACAGGGACCACTTCATTAACTAGGCCAGCAAGCTTTCCACAAAGGGCCAGGTAGGGTAAATATCAGACTTTGTGAGCCATGCATTCTGTTGCAACTTCTCGGGTCTGCCTGGCAGTGCAAAAGTAACCCGGAAGGAGTGTGCCTCCCCAGCTTCCCATAGACCACGTAGGAAGGAGTGCGCCTCCCCAGCTTCCCGTAGAGCTCCATGGACACCATGGACATTCTTTTTATCTGTGCCTTCTGTTTGTCCCCATATGTGTGCAGGTAATGGAGGTTAAAAGAGGGTGTCAGAGCCGGGCGATGGTGGCGCACGCCTTTAATCCTAGCACTCGGGAGGCAGAGGCAGGCGGATCTCTGTGAGTTCGAGACCAGCCTGGTCTACAGAGCTAGTTCCAGGACAGGCTCCAAAGCCACAGAGAAACCCTGTCTCGAAAAACCAAAAAAAAAAAAAGAGGGTGTCAGATGGAACTGGAACCATAGGTGCTTAAGTCACCCAGTGTGGGTGCTGGGAACCGAACCCAGGTCCTCTGGAAGAGCAGCAAGCCCTCAGCTGCTGAGCCATCTCTCCAGCCCCAGGCTCTTGTTTGCCTCTCCAGCTATTTAAAGATGTAAAAATGGCTGTTGGCTCAGAAGCTGCAGAAAAACAGGAAGTGAGAAGGCCCAACCGGATGTTTTATAGATGATGTTCTCTTGATTAGAAATTAAAGTTCCAAGTTAGCACAAGAATTAATCCTGTTTTCTAGTTGTTTATTATACGAGGCAGAGCTAGGCATAGTTCTCTGGGAGAGAAAACTATGCATGTATCTTTCTTATTCGAATCTTCTGGTCCTTCCCATAGGCAGGCCTCGCTGTGAGATGGCTCAGCTCTTGCCATCCTGTTCCAGCTCCCTCCCCGTTGAGGCTTGCCCTCTCCCTCCCTCCCCACAGCCATCACTTCTGCCTCCAAGAGTTCCAGGGTCTTGACCATGGTCCAGATGTAGAAACCAAAATAACTAACTAGAAAAATATATAGTTCAAAAATAATTGGCAAGTTACATCTGGAATAATTACTGTGTTCTGCCAGGAATGAACGTTTCAAGGCTACTCCGGCCTTCGTCTAACTTTGATGTCAATGATGGTCTTTGTGGGGGTATTTTTGGCTCTAAAATCTTGCATCCCTCAGCTTGGGCACCAGGAGACTTTCCCGAGGCACCAGCCCAGTCAGGCCATAAATAAAAAGGACTTAAAACTTTTAATTGGCTTAATCAACACCGTTGTCAATAGCTACATGAGTAGATCATTACGGTGAAGAGTGACGCAGAAACCGCTTGTTTCTTCTGGGCACGGAGGCACATGTCCTGCGAGGTCGAGGCCAGCTTGATCCACATAGATGGTTCCATACCAGCCAGGGCTACATAGGAAGACCCTGACTCAAAAACTAACCAGCCACAACAAATATACCCATTGATAGCCTGTTGGAATTCTCAGTAGGTGGGTGTGTCCAGCTCAGTCCCTCCCTCAGACTGTAAGCGTGGACAGCCTGCTCCCCACGTCTACAGTGTTTGCTCTGGGCTTGGGCTCTGTGTCCCCTCTGACTTCACTGCCACCATTAGCCAACTGTGCTACCCTGGGGGCTCAGCCACAGCCTCCTCCTGCCTCAGGACAATAGACCAATTCCACCCAAAAACCACTTTATAACGGCTGTTCTTCGTTTTCAATGTGATCACATTGGGAACTAAAACCAAAAACCGGAGGGCCTGTGATGGGGGTGCCTCCTTTATCTTTTTCTTTTTGGCAGTTCTGGGACTGGAACTCAGGGCCTTGCTACTACTGAGCCAAATTTCCCATCCTGTCCTAACCGTTAGCGCCCCCACCCCACCACCAAGATGGCTAGTTCACAAGCCTAGTCAGAGATGCAGCCCAACAGGAGGAGGAGGCTCTGTCAACAAGTGTACAAGGTGCCACCAGCCTAAGGCTGAGTGTCTCTCACTGCTGGCAAAGGCTGTTGGCAGGGCTTCTCAGAGCAGACTGCAAGGTTGCTGTGTCACCGTGGGTGGCAGAGGGGAGAGCCGCACAGCCTTCTCTAAATGAAACAGAAGGGTTTCAAATGTGCCTTTGGGAAGCCGAGCGAGACTGGCAGTCAGCTCGTGTGTGCTCGTGGTTGGTGGAAGCCGAGCAAGAGTGGCCGTCAGCTCGTGTGCTCGTGGGTGGCGTGGTTGGTGGCCATCTTCCTTTCCTGGGTTCGTACATTGTGACTCGTGTGACCGGCATGCTGGTGGCCCCTCTGGAAATACCCTCAGACTCTGAAGAATTAGGAGGTGATTTCTTCCTTGCTGGAGTCTCCTGAGGGTTCATCAGCTCTACTGGATGTAACTTAAGAAAACCCAAGTTTTAGATTCAGTTGGGTTTTGTTCTGACACAAGGTCTCTGTATAGCCCTGGCTGTCCTGGAATTTATCGTGTAGATCAGGCTGGCCTCAAACTCAACAGAGATTTGCCTGACTTTGCCTCCTGGGCCCTGGGATGAAAGACGTGTGCCACCATGCCTGGCTAAAACTTCTCAAAAATCAAAACTTTGTAGAAAAACAGCCAAAGCAACGAAGGTAAAGTGGGGGAGGATGAAGAAGAAAAACTCACATAGACTTTTTACAAAGTTCAATATACAATCCTTTATTTCTAGCCTTAAAAATCCTAACTTAAATTATCACGACTCTATTTACAGAATTGATCATCTCTACATGTGTGAGGTGCGGGGTAGGCCATGTCCATGCTGGGCAAACACTGGCCTAGCAATAACCACATTTAGACCATTACACTTGAAGTGGACATCAAGGGCCCCTCTTTGTGACAGGCAGAAATGGCTGGGACAACTCATTTTCAGTCTCTCGGCAGCCAGGGCAGCGAACAGCAAAGAGCATCAGAAGTTGGCAGCCCTACTGCCAGTAAATGACTGTATGCCTTTTTAGTGTTTAAGAGAAATGGTTTTTTCCCTGAGTTATTTTTCTGTGGAATCCTTTTAGATACTATCTAAAAACTCATATGATCCAGAAAACTCATAAAGAATCAAGAGTCCACCATCTTCCCCCTGAAAGGCCTTCCTGAGGCGGAAGTCCGTGGGGGCGCTGTGGTCTCTGCAGAGTCCGGGCAGAATGGCAGCAGCATCCCACATCGTCGTCCTGGGCAAGCAGGGACTGGTGCCCAAGCTCATAGTGTTTGGAGCACACGATCTTGCTCCTTTTCTAGAGAGGAAATGATGGACACAGAGTCCCAGGCATCATCCTTTGGGGAACTGTCCTTGTCCAAGACTTCTAAGATGGGTTGCTCTGGGTCCTTTAAATACTAGGAAAGGTTACAAAACAAAACGGTTACAAACAGTTTCATCAGCCAAGCCTCCGTGTCTCTACTTGAAGTTGGTAGAGCCAGCTACATGATATTCCCGTGTAACTGTATGTCGTCAACCAATGCATACTGCCACCGACAATATTGTTGTTACTATGGTGACGCCTGGGGTCAAGCCCAGGGCCTGGTACACGGTAAACACACAGTCTGCCCTGGCACACGCCCAGCCCTGATTTCCAGCATGTACCTGTCTTTACCTCTCATCTCAGTAATAACTGTAATGGGGCTCCAGAGGCAGGCCTGGGGTGTAGCTCCGTGTAGCAAGTGCAGGGGCCTGGGTTCCATCCCCAGAATTGTAAAATCAAAACCAATCAAACCACGTGAAAATTAAGGGCCAACCATATTCATTTGACGATAACCGTGAAGAGCGGAACTGAGAAAAAGTAGGACTTCTGGCTGTCCTCAGTGTACACTTTGTGGGTGATAGACTTTAAAGCATTTCAGAAATGTAACATTTGATGGGGAGATGACCCCTTAGGTAAGGGTGCTTGCTGCCAAGCCTGGCCACCTGCGTTTGATCCCCAGGACCCTTGTGATGAAAGGAGAGAACCAGCTCCTGAAGACTGTCCTCCAACTTTTATACCCAGCATGCATTTCTCACCCACCCACTATAACAGAAAATGTAACCTTCAGCTGTCATCCAGCTGTGACAGGGTGGAGCAGGGAACGTCCCTAAGTGCCCTGGGAGCCCCTCCTTCCACTTGCACACAGCCCTAGGGTACGCTGGGGTGGGGTGGGGTTCCACAGGAAGAGAGGTTTCACAGCCCTCAACTTTCCCTTTGGTCCTTGGCTATGGACTCACCCTGTTTCTCAGGCTCTGTCTGTAGCCCTTAGAAGTGCTGAAAGAGACACCAAATGCTAAGGGCCAACAGAAAGAGGAACAGGGTCACACCCACCCGTGACACCCAGACACAGAAACAAAACCGTTCTCTATTCTCAGGGAACATCAGTGACCTTTGGCAGTTTTTCATTCTTTCCCAAAAGAGTGCATCGAAACCTTGGATTCCTGCCCCAGAGAAACAGCTGGGGTGAACCCTGACTCAGCTCCTCTGAGGGTTGGACCTGAGAGGCAGGACGAGCCCAGTAAAACCCCAGGGGCCATCAGGACCCTACTCTCTGACAGTGTCAAGCAAGGAGCCTTTAAACCCATCTCCACGGTGCCACGTGCTCATACGGACTTGGATGTTACCCGACATTCATTGTATCACATCTTTATTGTGCGGATTTACGTGTGTGGCCAGTACCCACCTACGGAGAGCAGAGGCCAACTTTAGGGAGTCAGTGCCTCCTACCGCGTGGGTGCTGGCTCAGGCGTGTGCCACCCTGCCCAGCTGGGTCCCCTGCTTCCAATCTGCACACTCACCTCCTTTATTTGTTCCGGGATGTTTGGGGGAGCTTGAAACCAGTACTTCACCCGGCTCTGGTATTTGAGGAACAGGAAGAAGCAGGCCCCCGTGAGCACCAGCAGCGACAGACAGATGCCCAGGGGGATCAGGGTGACTTGCAGCCTGGTGTAGTCTAAAACAATGACATAAATGTGAGCAGGGCGAACTGCAGTGCGTGGGTCACCTGCCACTGCTTGCCATGTTCGTGTCCCAGTAAAACTGACAGGAACCCTCTGCTGCCCTTGTCCTATGCACTTAATAATTTCAGTCTGAAAATGCGAAGTCTGAAAAATTCTATTTCAAAATAGAAACCTGCCTTGTCATGATATCACACGTGGAACGCTCTTCACCCAGGTTCACGTGATGGCTCACAGTTCAAGCAGGAGTGCACGCGGGGCAGTGGGATGGCTCAGTAAGTAAAGGCACTGGTCCCTCCCCATGACAGAGCTCAGTGCGATCCTGGAGAACTGCCCTCTGACCTCTCCTCAGCTGGACACACACACACACACACACACACACACACACAAATGCAATAAAATTCCCAATAAAAATAAAAACACCAGCGTACTCAAAATATCATATAAAACCTCCTTCAGGCTATATAAGGTATCTATGAAACATAAGGGAATTTTGTGTTCAGACTTAGGACTCATTCCTAAGACTCTTCATTATGTATATGCAAATATCCCAAAATCTGAAACAAGAAAACCTCAAATCATACATACTTCTGGGTCCCGGGTGTTGTGGAGGCTACTTAGCCTAGTCACATGATCAGACTTCCAGGTAAGCACTTCTGGACCTCTCTGCTCCTACCGCCTGCCGCCCCTCACAGCCTGTCCTCCTGCCACCCCACATACATAGCCTGCCTGCCTGCAGTCCCGCAGCCTGCCCGTCTTCACCATTTCAGGAGAAGCATTTTCACAACCGCTCCACACAACACATGACAGATAAATGAAGGGATGCCTTACCCTTTGCTGTTGTTTCTTCGCAAGATACGTTGCTGAACGAAGACTTAGGTCGACAGTTACTTTTGTTTTTCACAATCAGCTGCGTCTCAATTTGTAAACAGTAAACTCTAAACGACTTCAAATCATCCAACACAATGGAGTTCTTCTCGAAGGGGCCGCTCACCTGGGTAGACAGCATCACGGCCACACAGGTCAGCCAGCCAGCCAGGGCCAGTGGCTGCTAGCTTTTCTAGTACCTCCTCAAATGCACAGTGAGCACGGCCGACCGGGAACAAGACTGCAGGGCTGGAAGCTCTCGTCAGCCTTCTGCAGCAACCAGGACTTAACAAATACTACTTTCTAGGGTAAGAATTCTCTGAGCTGGAGAGATGGCTCAGCCATTAAAGGCTAGGCTCACAACCAAAGATAGAGGAGTTCAGTTCCCAGCACCCACAGCTGTCTCTCCAGACACACACACACACACTTCTCCTAGAAAATTAATACATTAGGCTGGGTGATGCTTTGGTGGGCACAATGTTCGCTGTGCAATCAGTACCAGCAGCTGAGTTCAGATCATCACCACCCATGTAAAAATCATGCATTCTGCCGGGCGGTGGTGGCGCACGCCTTTAATCCCAGCACTCGGGAGGCAGAGGCAGGCGGATCTCTGTGAGTTCGAGGCCAGCCTGGTCTACAAGAGCTAGTTCCAGGACAGGAACCAAAAGCTACGGAGAAACCCTGTCTCGAAAAATCAAAAAAAAAAAAAATCATGCATTCTGACATTCGGCTGTATCCCCAGAACTGGGGGAGCAGAGACAGGTGGATCCTTGGAGCCTGGTGGCCATCCAGTCACTGAATGGTGAACTCCAGGTGCAAAGAGAGACCCTGTCTCAAAAACAAAATAAGGTGGAGAACAACAGAAGAGGTCACTTGACATTGACCCCTGTCCTCCGCACACATAAGCGTGGATAGGTATACCTGTGCACACACACATGTGCATTCACCCCCTCAACAATAAAATAGACATCTGTGTCTTAACAGAGAAAAAACATCCTATGATGTTTTCCCTTTAATTCCAAAACAGCCTCTGGTTTGAAGTAAAACTTGCTGATCCCTTTATAGTTTTGGCCAAAGTGACCATGGGTATTTATGTCCTCAGGAGATAGCTGGACACAATGGTCTCAGGCTGACAAAGTCCCTTGGATCTGATGTCCCTGTCAGCCTTCTTTTTGACCACATCTGTCTCGTGGCTTACACTGATCAAAGCATCTGCAGTGCCCCATGTGTGCCCTCTCATCCATGATGATGTCCCACGGTGGAGGCACTAGTCCTTGGATGTTCTTTCTCCTTCCAGGTGATCCCTGCCTAGTCATGCATGGGGCCTTTCTGCAAACCATTCAAACCACTTGCATGACATTGCAGATCATGTAGTCCATGCCAAAAGTGGTCCCATCAAGGGGGGAAGAGAGCCTGATGTCAAGGAGGCCTTGTCCTGGGATTGCTCCCATGGTTTTTGTGGCCTGACCGTAACTGAAATGACATCACAAATCTCTGACCGTCTGCAAGTCCTAACTATCTAACTGGTTTGGAGGGAAACAGGTCACTGTACCTCCCCAGAGTCCAGACACAGCAAACCCATTATAGGCCAGGAACCAGCAAAGCCTAAAAACGGAACCAGACAGCAGGAAGGCATGACACCAAAGACGGGTCAGACCGTCAGAGAGAAGGATTAATCCTCAGCAAGGAGGATTAAAACGGGTCACGCTCCAGGAGACACGGGGCCCTGGTCTTTCTTCCGAGTCAGAAACTCCAAAGAAAAGAAACCCTAGACAAAGGAGAAAAGTTCTTGCCTGTTGGGTTCCTGTTTTTTCCCAGTAATGGACATGATACTCAAAAGTTACTTCTGTCGTCACATCAAAGGGAGGGGAGAAGTGGATGATGAGGGAGCCTTTTCCTGGGGTCACCGAGATGTTTTTTGGAGGCCCAACAGTAACTGAAATAGAATTACAAACAAAAAAGCTCACATGAACGACATACACTCAATATGCATACCCATATAGACCATGTATGTGCATACTGTGTATATACAGTCTGCATGATCTACTTTTGTATGTGTGTGTACACACACGTTTATGCTTAGATAAGCAACGGCTTTGTGCCTGCTCTGAATGTGCTGTTTACTGAAAAGCCAACATCCAAGTGAAAGGAACCCCCCTGCGATCCCACATGTAGCCCCAAACCAGCTTCTGGCAGGTGCAGGATTCACCCCCACTGACGCCCTCTGAGCTGCTTCTATTAGTACCACACGGAAGTTGTCTTCCTGGCTCCCACTAGGGAGAGGCCAAGCAGGAGATATATGTTTTGAAACTTTGCTGGTAGGCCACAACCTCGTGGTGATATACAGATTAATAGAAATGGATTAAATTAAGAATGAAGAGTTAGCCAATAAGAAGTTAGAGCTAATGAGCCAAGCAGTGATTTAATTAATACAGTTTCTATGTGATTATTTTGATTCTGGGCAGCCGGGACAAACAAGTGGTCCCTTGCAACATAAGATAAATAAAAAGTTAGGTATCTCTAGTGTTTTTTATAGCAATGAAAAAAAAAAAAAAAGAATCTGCACACGGCACATCTCAGGGCTGTGGCCTTGCACAGTCTTTCAGGACAATGGTGGCTGAGGTGCTGGCTCTCAGCAGGAAGTCTTTGAGAGTAAGTAAAGCTTCCAGAATCATGGCTGACATCAGAATCCCAGACAAATAGGACAGAAAGTTAAGTCAGAGGTCAAGTTTTCACCCAGAGTAGGAAAAGCTGTGTAAGACTTGAAGTCTGCAGAGAAACGGGTGGATCTGGAAAGCACCATACTAAGTGAAGGACCCAAACTCAGAAACAAAAAGCATGCATGTTCTCCCCCACCCATGAAGATCCTAGTCTATAGTGTTCGTGTGTGTGTGTGTAAGTAAAAGGGATATCGCATGAAGATCCTAGTCTATAGTGTTTGTGTGTGTGTGTAAGTAAAAGGGATATCGCATGAAGATCCTAGTCTATAGTGTTCGTGTGTGTGTGTGTGTGTAAGTAAAAAGGATACCACATGAAGATCCTAGTCTATAGTGTTTGTGTGTGTGTGTGTAAGTAAAAAGGATACCGCATGAAGATCCTAGTCTATAGTGTTTTGTAAGTAAAAAGGATATCACATGAAGATCCTAGTCTATAGTGTTTTGTAAGTAAAAAGGATATCACATGAAGATCCTAGTCTATAGTGTTTTGTAAGTAAAAAGGATATCACATGAAGATCCTAGTCTATAGTGTTTGTGTGTACGTGTGTAAGCAAAAAAGACTGAGTGTGGGTGTAGTATAACATTGCTATATCATTGGGTTCTCTTTTACTGTTGGTTTTTGAGAGAGGGTTTCTTTGTGCAGCCCTGGCTATCCTCTATCCTGGAACTCATTATATAGACCAGGCTGGCCCAGAACTCAGAGATCCACCTGCCTCTGCCTCCCAAGTGCTGAGATTAAAGGCGTGCGCCACCCTTATCCCAGGTCACTTTTTAATAAACTGACAGTTTAATGGTTCTGGATTTTTTGGAGGGAATTTTTATTTAGTTAGTTGAATTTATTTACTTATTTTCATTTAAAATTTTTTTATTATATGTTTGTGTTGTAATGGTAGTAGCAATAAAATATGCCATTCTACCCAGGATCTTTAAAAAAAAAAAAACCTAGCCCAGCTGGACAGTGGTGACACACGCCTTTAGTCCTAGCACTCAGAAGGCCGAAGCAGGTGGATCTCTGAGTTCAAGGCCAGCCTGGTCAGACTAGCCTTGTCTACAGTGTGAGTTCCAAAATGGCCAGGGCAGTTACACAGAGAAACCCTGTCTTGAAAACCCAAAGAACAAAACAACAATAAAAAGCTGGGCTTTATTGTCAGCCCTTCTCTCCAAGGGCTGGAGAGATGGCTCAGCGGTTAAGAGCATTGCCTGCTCTTCCAAAGGTCCTGAGTTCAATACCCAGCAACCACATGGTGGCTCACAAACATCTGTAAAGAGGTCTGGTGCCCTCTTCTGGCCTGCAGGCATACATGTAGACATAATATTGTATACATAATAAATAAATAAGTAAATAAATATTTTTTAAAAAAACTAGCCCAAATAAATAACTCTGTTTAATACAGCATCAACTATCTAGAAAGTGGTCACATAGCCAATTGTCTTATACCTGGATTTCGTGTGTGTGTGCGCACGCGCATGTGTGTGCACACTCAAGTGTGTAAGTATCACATATGGCTGTGTGTTTGTGCCTGTGGGAGCAGGAAGTTGATAGCAGGACTCATGCTTGATTACCCCTTCTTCACTGTTAGCTTCCTCTGAGGACCCCACCTGGGGATCCCACCTCCACCTTCAGAGGCTGGAATTAAAAGCAGAGGCGGGACTCATGCCCTTGGCGACTGTTGAGGTGTGTTGGGATCTGAACTCTGGTCCTCAGGCTTGTGTGGCAAGAGCTTTAGCCATTGAGCCTGGATTTACTTGTTAGGATACAAGTGAGCCTCTTTGTGTGTGAACCAGCCACAGACTTAGGAAGCTTGGGACATGGCTGAACCGTGGCAGACACAGAACCTGAGTACCCGAGATGCACTGCTTTATTCTGCAAGTCAGCATTCACGGACACCTCACATGAGAGGCCCTGTTCAGGTCTGAGTGAAAATCTTTCTCTCGTAAAGTCAGTGTGCTGTATCAGGAAGGGTGACGAGAACCGACACACACAGGCGGGTGCCCTGTCAGTAGGGTGGGTGGGGACTGTCCTTCAGCACCTGTCCAGCAGGCATCAGGTTCCTGCTCTCCAGACCCACAGCAAAGAGAACAAAAACGGGGTGCAGCTGCCTCCCAGTGAAACAGTATTTGCAGTAGCCAGGGGGCAGGTCAATTTGGAGCTTGGTGCAGCAAATCACCTTCCTTTAGCATCAGCCTCCAGGGCCAGCAGTCTCTCACGACCCTACCCATTTGCCTTCCGCTTATTTAGGATGAGGGCCAGGACCAAGGCCTAGGGCAGGTTCAACATTGTTCACTGAAGAGGCATGAAAAGAAAACCTGGGCACCATAGAGCATTTCTTTTTAAAGATATATTCATTTAATTTCCCCCCCTTTTTAAAAAAAATTTCTGTGTAGGTGCATGGGTGCCCCAGGAGGCCAGAAAAGGGTGCTGCATGCCCTGGAGCTGAAGTTTAAGGCAGTTGTGAGCTCTCCAATGTGGGTGCTAGCAACTGAACTCTGGTCCTCTGCAGGAGCATCTCCCTAGAAACTGAACTCCGGTCCTCTGCAGGAGCATCTCCCTAGAAACTGAACTCTAGCCCAGCAGTGGTGGTGCACACCTTTAATCCCAGCACTCGGGAGGCAGTGGAAGGTGGATCTCTGTGAGTTCAAAGCCAGCCTGGTCTACAAGAGCTAGTTCCAGGACAGGGTCCAAAGCTACAGAGAAACCCTGTCTCGAAAACCCAATAAAAAAAAAAAAAGAAAAGAAAAAAAAAAGAAAAAGAAAAAAAGAAACTGAACTCTGGTCCTCTGCAGGAGCATCACTCTAGCCCCTGTAAGGTGTCTCCCCAAGTCCTCTCACCATTACAATAGTGCTCGAACTGGCTCGAGGTGACCCACTTAGAAGTGAGGCTTCCTTGCTTGGCTCGAACTCGTAAGTGAACTAGGCGTAAACCTGTGAAACTCTTCAAGCCGCCACCTCCTGTGAAGTCACACTTCGTCTCTGTGATGTCTGTACAATTCACGTCCTTGACCTTATTCCAAGAACCAGTAATGCTGGGAAAGAAAACAAGATTTCAATTCACAGTTCTTCAGAAACATTGTTTTCCATAAAATAGTTGCAATTGCAATTGTTTCTCCTTTTGGCATAGGTCAAGTATACTGTTTACCAAGGATTAGTTCCTATGCTGTCCCTACTTAGATGTACTCAACACAATGGTTTTAGGGTAGTCAGCTGCCACTATGGCCAATTTTAAAAATATGTTGCTATCCCCCACACCAAAAAACAAAACACCCCACCCGGTATCCATTGATAAGAATTCTCCATTTTCCCTCAACCTGGTGCCCAGTCACAGGCAACTGATGTACTTTCTGTTTCAACAGGTTCCCTTGTTCTGAATGGAACCATACGTATCATATGGCTGCCCATGACAGGCCTATTCACGCTATAGAATGTATCATTTTTGTTTAGCTTTGGTTTTTTTTTAATTTCTGTTTTATTTTTATGTGAATGTGTATGTGCTTTAGAGCGTTCATGTATTCTGTCTGCATCTAGGTGCCCGAGGACGGTTAGAAAAGGGTATTGGATCCCCTGGAACTGGAGTTATGGCCAGTTGTGAGCTGCCATTTGGGTGTTAGGAAATGAACGTACACACTCTTAACCACCGAGCTATCTCTCTAGCACATTTTACATCTATTTCCGTGTGTATGTGTACCATAGCACACATGGAAGTCAGAGGACATGTGTGGAACAGGTCTCAGTTTCACTCTGTGGGTTCGAGGGACTTGAACCCAGGTTCTCAGGCTTGGCAGTAAATGCCCTTTCCCTAAGCTATCTCTCTAGTTCATGTATCAGTTCTTTATTTCTCCCCCAGCCCCAAACCTCCACTTAAGCCTGGTATGTTGGCACACACCAGGAGTTCTAGTTTCTCTTTTCTTCCTTCCTTTTTTGTATTTTTGGGGTTTTTTTGTTGTTGTTGTTGTTTTGTTTTTCGAGATAAGTGTTTCTCCAAGCTTTGGGCCTGTCCTGGAACTTGCTCTGTAGACCTTGAACTCACAGAGATCCGCCTGCCTGCCTCTGCCACTTGAATGCTGGGATTAAAGGCGTGCGCCACCACCGCCTGGCAGGAATTTTAGTTTTCTAGAGGCCATGACACTCGGATTATGAACTTGCGGTCAGCCTGGGTTACATGAGTTTCAGACCAGTCTGCAACACATAGGGAGACCCTGTCTTCAAAAGCAGGACGAGGAGGGGGAGGAAGAAGCAAGAAAAAAGGGAGAAAGGAAGAAAAAAAAAGGTCCCTTTATATGGGGCAACACACTTTGTCTATACGTCCGTGAGCTGGTAGGCATGTTGTTTATACGTCTGCCATTTTGAAATGCCTGACCAGGGTTCCCAAGGGAGCTTCTCGTCATGTACCATAGTATCCAATCCCAGGGCCTCAGAGCCGAGGAAGAGAAGGACCATGAACAGGAACAGCCCCCCGCCCCCCCCCCCCCCAGAACAAGCACTTTCTAGCCTCCAGTCTGCCAATCCCATTCCGCCAGCGGCTGAATTTGGAGGAGCAGGCCCTATATCTCACACTCCCTGACTCACCAGGGGATTAGACACTCCTCCTGCCCCCCCCCCCCCCCCCACGGTCTTCTAACCTTGTCCCCATCTCAGAACAACTTTTAAAAAATGTTTCTTGGAAGAGAGCCTAATGGGGGAATAGGAGCTCTGAGAGAAGGAACCCCTTTCCGCGGGGAAGGTAACCTCACCAGACCCCATCAAATCGGCCTGAGCTTTACTAGCCAGATGACTTACTCCGCCTTCTGGGCTCTGACCCATCTTGGACTTCTGTCTCAGAAATCACCTAGCGTTTCGTGTGTGAGCGTGCGGGGCATCTGTGATGGCTAATTTTAATCGACAACCTGGCACAGTCTAGACGTTCCTGGGAAGTCTCAACGAGGGCACGTGACTGCGAGGATCGTTTCTTAACACAGTTCTTCAGTCTCCTTATCTCGAAGAGAAGAATCAGGCCAGAGACAGCTTGGTGGGGGAAGGTGCTTGCTGCCAAGTCTGTTAGCTTGAGTGCACTCCCCAGGATCCACATGGTAGAGGAGGACAACTAACTCTGGCGAGCGGTCCTGACTTCCACATCAGCTGTGGCATCTGTGCCGTCCCAGTGCACCAAAACATTAAATAATAAGAAATATGTGCTTATATGTGTGCATGCACATATATATTTTCTTTCTTTCTCTCTTTCTTTCTTTCTTTCTTTCTTTCTTTCTTTCTTTCTTTAGGGGAAGGCTCAACTATAGCATCTGCTTCCTAGACTTAGGAGGAAGACCGAGATATAAGAAAAGCACTCGAACAAGTACCCCGTGCTCAACAAGCAAATGTCTGTCAGAACTACTTCTACCACTTAGGGCATCCCTGAGTCAGCGCTCCTCAAGCCTTTAACACCACCCTCTTCCTTGTTTCCTACACAGGACACGCCTCCCTAGCTGACCCTCTCTCAGCTTTCAGGACTGAGGGCCTGAAGTGGCGTGATGGGAACCTGGGGACGCTTCCTCTGGAGAAGACGGTCTGATTAATGCTTTAATGCTTCACTATCCTTGTTTTCTCTGGCCCCACCCACACAGCTGAAGCTCTGTCCCCACATCCCAGGCTAGGTGTGGGTATGCATGTTCACCATGCATGGAGACCAGCAGGCCGTGATGCTCGCTGTGCTTCTGCGTGTCCTACAGACAGCATGCGCTGCTAGAGCACTCAGAGAAACAAACGTTCTGAGTGGGCAGCGGTGGCAGGGCAGGTCTCCGTGAGCCCAGCAATAAGCTGTGACCAGGCCTCGAAGACCAGCGGAGGACAGCATGCTTTTGTTGTTAATACAGCAAAACCCTCCAGATTCTATAATGTTGGCTACTAATGTTTGCTCGCTTTTTAAGGATTAAACACTAGGGCCATACAGCCTGGTGGCTGCTATCTGTGACCTACTATTTAAACTTTACAATCCCCCACTATGTTTCCTGTAGATTTTGTCATAAAAACGACCAAATGCTTCTTTTCTTTTTAATAAAACCAACCTCAACCCCTGATGAAAGGCTACAAAATGTTTATCAGAAAGAAAGGAAGGATGGGGGTTGGGGAAATGACTACCATTAAATGACAGCTCACAGATGTGGATTTAGACCTGAACACCCAACGGAACCTGTAAGCCGCCAGTGCAGTGGGCAAGAGAGCCGGACACAGACACAGGCAGATCCCTGGCCAGTCCATCTAGCTGAATGGGAGAGCTCCAGGTTCAATGAGAGACTCTGCCTCAAACAATAAGGGAGGAAGAGGCAGGCGGATCTCTGTGAGTTTGAAGCTAGCCTGGTCTATAAGAGCTAGTTCCAGGACAGGCTCCAAAGCTACAACGAAATCCTGTCTCAAAAAAACACAAAAGGGGGGTGGGCAGAATTAAGGAAGGCACTTGGACATGCTCTCTGGCCTCCAGATGCCTACGCCTACACACACACACACACACACACACACACACACACACGCACACACACAGGCAACGCACATATATGCACACACGACTTAGAATCAAACAAGCTACTCTAGACTATGAAGCTACACACACACATGCACACACACGTGTACAACTTAGAGTCAAACAAACTACTCTAGACTATAAGGCTACACGGAAACATTTTCCACAAAGTTCAGTAGACTGAGTACAGTGGCATCAGACTAGAATCTCAGTTACTCAGGAGGCTGAGGCAGGAAGATCTATAGTTCTGGGGCTACATGAGCAAAATGAATGCTTGTCTCAAAATATACAAACAGACAGTTTTGTTCACGTGGTACGTGTGCAGTGACTTGGCCGTGATCTTCCATCGGCTTACAACTGAGCACACTCTCCCAGTGCACAGCTCTAAGGGTGCACAGCAAGTGCCAGCCAACAACAGAGAGACAGGCAAAGGAGGTGAGAGGCAGAACAAAGGGCGAGAACAATACATCATTCAAAACAGAAAACCAGGTGAGAAACCGAGAATTCTTTGTAGTCTGCAGAGTAAATTCCTTCGTAGGCTGAATTTGGACTTTGAGGTTTTTAAACCTGAAAGCCGCCCCTTCCTTTTCCTAGGCGGAAGTCAGCTCTCACTGTGAGGAGAGTGAAGGGGTTAACTTTCACCAGGAAGGGAGGGTACACAGCAGCCAGTGTTCTCCCCGGGCCGCCAGACACACTTGAACGGACCTCTTGTGGGTGGGAGGTAAGAGCTCGGTCCTTGGAGCTTTTAAAAGCAAGAGAGAAATACCGGCCATGCACAGATCTCTCCACAGTCCTGCTGACTCCATTGCTCCATCTGACTCCCCACCAGGTCCCAGCAAGGATACCCATAGAACATCAACTTACAATTTATACTCCACCTGGTAAACCACTGGTCTCTTGTCGTTGGTGGGGGGTGACGGCGCCCAACTCAGAATCTGCTCATCATTGTACAGGTGAAGGTTCAGGTGCTGAGGAGCAGCAAGCTGGGAAAAAGAGTCTTGAGAGGAACCAGAAATGAGGGGGGAATGGGGCAGATAGGGAATGAGAGGGGATGGGGCAGACAGGGAATGAGAGGGGATGGGGCAGATAGGGAATGAGGGGGATGGGCAGATAGGGAATGAGGGGGGAAGGGGCAGATAGGGAATGAGGGGGGAAGGGGCAGATAGGGAATGAAGGGGGAAGGGGCAGATAGGGAATGAGGGGGAAGGGGCAGATAGGGAATGAGGGGGGATGGGGCAGATAGGGAATGAGGGGAGATGGGGCAGATAGGGAATGGGGCAAATTAGGAGGGGGATGAGGGCGGGTAGGGAAGGAGAGGGAGAAAGGTGAAGAAGAGGTGAGGGGGAATGGGCAGGGAGAGAAGAGGAAGATTGCATAAGAGAATGCTCAATTACAAAACATTTCAGGGGGCTGGAGAGATGGCTCAGTGGTTAAGAGCATTGACTGTTCTTCCAGAGGACCTGAGTTCAATTCCCGGCAACCACATGGTGGCTCATCCCATCTGTAATGAGATCTGGCGCCCTCTTCTGGCCTTCAGGCATACATGGAGGCAGAATGTTATATACATAATAAATAAATAAAATATTAAAAAAAAAAACAAAACATTTCAGGGCATGTCATCAAATATTTATGCAGTGCAGCCCTCGTCACAGTTGAGGAACGGGGGCACCTGTTCTCCTGGCACACCCTCTGGGTCTGATGGTGAGGACACTAGGGACAGTGGGAGAAGTGTTTGAGGCCACCCTTCACCTGCGGGCTCCAGCTGGTAGAGCAGGTGGTGGGAACCACAGCCTGGCTCCACCGGGATCTGAGATCTACCATTTGTGACTGCGCTTGACTCTGGGCTGCCCAAGCCTCCATTTTCCTACAGGAATAACCCTAACCCCGACCAATAGTGGAACGCCCATAGAGCTTGGGTAAAGATTCTGTCGGTGAGGAACTAACAGGCGCGGGCAGGGTACCAAGATGACCCTGCATGTATGTGGAGAGGCAGAGGCCCCACATCAGGCAGGCGACCGCCAAAGGCACGCGACATCACCTGCTCCTCCGAGACCCCTCAGCACTCGTCCCCGAGATCTGGGACAGCTTCTAAATCCCAGGTTCCATGCCATAGATGAGGATATGCGCTCTCAGTTCGCCTCCCAGCTTTTGAGAGACCCAGATGACAAAATAAGGCGTTCCCTCGAGGTAGCAGATTCCTCCTCCTGGGGTGACAAACTAGTTCCAACCCATCCTGTCAGACAGATACTCCCTCTGCAGGCGGGGCTAGCGTCTGAGAACGCTGGAACCTTCTCTCTAAAGAGATCATAACACTTTCTCTGATCGAGAAAGATTAATGAGAAATATTCAGAAGGTGGAAAGAAAAACATACCGCTCCAGAATTCAAAGCCGGAAACTCAAACCACATGTTTTCCGAAAGCGCTTCCAGACCCGGCTCCCCACCCCCACCCCACCCACCTCCGCGCCCGCCGCGGCACACCGCACCGCCTGCCACCGGGCTGCAGCCCCTGTCTAGTTACGGAGTGTCAAGCGCTTCCACCTCTGCGAGCTCCGCTGCCCGCGGCCTAGTTCTTTCAACACTGCTGCCCATTCACGCGGGGCCGCAGGAGAACGTGCACCAGAGCCAGCCAAGAGAAGCAGCGTGGCAGAGGACAGACCGGTTCAGCTCACCGCGGCCAGGCGCCCAGAGAGGAATCTCAGGGACGCGCTTTGCCTGCCTGCACCGGGGTTTGTCGCTGCTGTACCTATCACCCCAAATGCGAGAGCTTTAAACAACCCATTTATCATCTTAGCACATGCATCGTTTATCATCATTCTGGTCAGATGTTTGAAACGGGCCCATTACCCTGCCTGCCATACCTCCCCCCACCATCTCACACATTTGCTGGTGCCCCTGCCTGGGACCGGCTCTTCCCAGTCTAAACACCCCTCTAAGAAAAGCAACACCAGGGGACCCAAGCTGTGGCGAACCTTGCTCCGCCCACACAGGTGCTCTCAGGTTCAAAAGAAACTCAGGACCAACGACTAACACGGAAGTGTCTGCTGGCTCCTCTCAGCTCTTCTCACTCCACCCCTACCCAGCCCGCTGGTGGGCTTCCCTTCCCCCAGCTCCTCATTCCTATATAACCTGCCATGCCATCCATGCGTCTTCCCTTCTCCCCTTCCCCCTTCCTTGCGCATCTCATGGCCTGGTCCAATCTGCTGGCCATGTTTACTGCTTTCTCTCCCTGCTCTGGCCTTCTCCAGATGTCTCTAGCTGTATTCTCTCTCATATCTACAACAAAAACCCACGCCCACGCCTCACCCACAGCTGGGAGCAGGCAGGTCCTCGCTTTATACACTTGTTAGGGCTGGGGCATGGGGCTCATGGTACAGCATTTGCCTAGCAGGCCCAAAGCCCTGAGTCTGATGTCCAGAAACTCAAAAACCAAACCAAAACAAAAACCAGCAACAAAAAGATAATCTCTGGGAAAGAGGGAGTTTTCAGACTAGGCATATGAAAGGTCACCCAGCACAGCCGTGTCTCCACGAGGGCCGTCTTGGAAACCCTTATCTTGTTATAGTCACTGAAGAAAATGAGTCTGAGGACTGTGGACTCCACCAGGAAGTGCCAGAGATTAATCCACATATCATATTCCACTTTACCAAACAGCCCTCTTCCCGGCCTGGAGGGCTCATCCTTGAACTTCAGCCTCTCCACTCCAGCCCTGTTTGCCCCTGGGAAACGCTTAGCACACCTTCCTTGGGACCTAGTTCTGCCCTTCCCTCTCCATCAAGTCTCCTGGTCTGCTCAGTCACGGCCTCAGCACAGTGACCACCTGGAACATGTCAACTTGCAAACCTGCCTCAAGGTGCAATTCCCACCTGAGTCCCTCACACAGAGAGGTCAGAAGCAACGACTTTAGGACTAGATTGCCTGGACTTTGTCATTGTCTCAGGCTGTGCTCAACTCTGCCTCCCTCTGCCTCCCAGTGCTGGGATCGAAGGTGTGTGCCACCATGCCCGACTTCACAGTGCACTCTTAATCTGGCCCTCCGGAGGAAGGAGGGAGTTCATTTGATGTGTAGCTGTGCCCCACCAGCGGCACCCCAAGTCTGTCTGTCTCCCCTCAGCACTAGAGCATGCACTTTGAAAAGGTGGGGTGTTTTCTCCTGGGGTCTGGAACGACAGACACAAAAGATGTGGGAACAAGTGTTGCGCCCTTCCACTTGGAAGCCATGCCAGGCCAGACTCTCTTCCTTGCTTGCTTTGTGTCTGAGCCCAAGGTTTTGTCTCATCTCACAGGCCAGGGCAAGGTGCTAACGATTCTGGGTGAGAGACTTCTCCGGATGGTTCCAAAGATCTGTGTTAGTCACTTTTATGTCACTATACCAAACCATCTGACAGAGTTTGGCTGGTTGAGGGGATTTCAGTCCATCCTAATGGGGGAAGCATGTGAGAAAGGCTGCCACTGGCAGCTTACTGTGTGGCTGCATCCCCCGCATCCCCCGCCTGCATCCCCCGCATCCCCCGCCTGCATCCCCCGCATCCCCCGTCTGGCTAACCTATTTCTTAAGTACATGTGAAGTCTCAAGTGTTTGGATCCCAGGCCCATCACAGGGGTGGGGCAGGGAGGCAGGCTGGAAGGACCTGTGACCCCGGTGCAGAGGGCATGCTCTAGTGAGCTCCACCCAACTTATCTCTCCTTACCACAGTGCCACGGGCACATGGAGAAGGAAGGCAGAGTGGAGCTCTGCTCCCCTCCCAGGTCTGGGCACTTTCCAGGTAGGAGCTCCCTGTCTTTGAAGTCCCTGTGCCCACCCATGGGCACCACATTGGTTTCCTACTGTTGCTGCAGCAAATGACCACCAAGGTGGCAGCATGAAACAATAAACATTATCTTATAGTTCTATAGGTCAGAGTGCAGCAGGTGTTCGGGGGCAAAGGTCATGGGCCTAGGAGCTGCAAGTAGAAGAATTTGTTCCCTTACCCTGGCTAGACTCTGCTGAAACAGTTTCCCGGGTGATTATACTGGACATAACCAGATATGCCCAAATCATACCGGACATAACCAGATAAGCCAAAATCATACCGGACATAACCAAATACGCCAAAATCATACCGGACATAACCAGATACGCCAAAATCATATCGGACATAACCAGATACACCAAAATCATACCAGACATAACCAGATACGCCAAAATCGTACTGGACATAACCAGATATGCCAGAATCGTACTGGATATAACCAGATAAGCCAAAATCATATTGGACATAACCAAATATGCCAAAATCGTACTGGACACAACCAGATAAGCCAAAATCATACCAGACAGAACCAGATATGCCCAAATCGTCTCTGTTCTAAAATCCTGTGTCTATGGACCTGCCACTTCTCATGCACCCTAACAGTCACAGGACACTGGCAAATTGGCTAAGAAGGCATACTAATCTGGCCTGTGACAGGGCAGAGCCATTGAATATTGTCCCAGCCTGAGGCCACTTATTGCTGGTCACTGCAAGCGTGTCTCAGGAACCAGCTCACTACCTGCAGAGGCAGGCATGGGGAACCAGATGTTCTTAAAAATCTTAAAAACGGCATCATTTTCAATTATTCATTATTAGCCAATCGTTTTTAATTAATTAACTCATTAATTAATATGTATGTGAGACTGAGAGAGAGAACAACTTGTGGAAGCTGGCTCTCCTGCTACCAAGTAGGTCCTAGATGTCACAGTTAAGTCACTAGACTTGGCAGCAAGCAGCTATGTCACCGTCCAAAAAATGACATCTTAAACCTGAAAATAATCACATCTTTAAAACAATGACAGACTGCTGTCTGCTCTTGCCTTTCACTTATTTTTATTTATGTGTATGTGAGTGGGCCCGTGTGTGGCTATGTGTACCACGTGTTTGCAGGAGCCCATGGAGGGAACAGGTGGCTGTGAACTACCTGACGTGGGTGCTGGGAACCAAACCCTGGTCCTCTGCAGGAGCAGTAAGTGCTCTCAACAGCAGGGCTGAGCCATCTCTCCCCCTACACTTTCACTAATGATCCCTTGCCTCTGACAACTCTGTGGGAGGAGCTTCATCATTTGTAAGGAAGCCCAGGCTTAGGTGCTGACTGGCAGGATTCTGTGGCTCTAGCCCCTTCATCCCTGCGCTGTATCCTGTTGCCTTGTCAGCACCACTAAGAAAGTTTGTGTGGGGTTGAGATGCCCCACAGGCTCATGCTGTGAGTATGGGGACTCCAGCCTGTGGTGCCCTCACAGGGCTGTGTAACCTGTAATGAGGGGCTGACTAGGGGGAGTAGGCCACCAGAGACCAGCTTTTGAAAGTTACTGAGACAATGGGGATGTTCTATCGGGAACTCACCAAGGCCAGCTGGCCTAGATCTGAAAAAGCATGGGATAAATCTGGACTAGCTGAACATAGCGGACAATGAGGAATACTGAGAACTCAAGAACAATCGCAGTGGGTTTTTGATCCTACTGCACGTACTGGCTTTGGGGGAGCCTAGGCAGTTTGGATGCTCACCTTACAAGACCTGGATAGAGGTGGGCAGTCCTTGGGCTTCCCACAGGTCAGGGAACCCTGATTGCTCTTCGAGCAGATGAGGGAGGGGGACTTGATCGGGGGAGGGGGAGGGAAATAGGAAGCGGTTGTGGGGAGGAGGCAGAAATCCTTAATAAATAAATAAATTGAAAAAAAAAGAAAAAAGAAAGAAAGAAAGTTACACCCACTCCCTGGCTCTAGTGTGCTTTCTCTGCCTCCTGGTCAGCCTCATGTGAATCATGACTAATGCCACGATCTTACCTCCAGCACCTTAAATGTGCTGGTAACGAAACCAGGAAGTTACCCTTTTTAGTAAACCCCCAAGAGCAAGTATTTTTTTTGTTTTGTTTGGTTGGGTCCCCTCCCCCAGCCTCCCAGATAATTTGAAGATTACCTACTTCAAAAGAACAGTTGAAAACAAAGAGAAAATGTAGACAAAGCTTAGCAGCTTGCTTCAATAAAGGGAGCCCGCATTATCATTGATCTAGCTACAATGTAGACAGTTTCCCCTCTGAGCCGGAGACCGCACCTGGAGAGGAGACTCCCTAATGCCCAGTCCTTTCCAATGGCTTTTAGGTTGTCTGGGACTTACTGTCCTTGCCAGTGGTTAACATAGACACTAGACATTCCTCCAGGCCTGTTAGAGACACTAGACATTCCTCCAAGCTTGGGAACAACGGCAATGAAGTCCTTATACTCCCACAAGCAACACACACACACACACACGCACGCACGCACGCACGCAAGCACGCACGCACGCACGCTCATACCATTCTTCAGGGCAGGTGATGAAGTAACTAAAGGGTTTCATGCTGTCATTTTTTTGTCTGTTTTTTATTTTGTTTTGTTTTTGTTTTTCTGATCTACAGCAAAGGGCTGCCAATTAGCAAAGCAAAGGAGAGCAACCATGGACTGTTTTGGGTCCAATATTTTTATGCTACCCTTGAACTCACTGGAAGAGCTTGATATTATAAACTTTCCTTCCAAAGCCTTGTTTCTGGGGGCTGGAGAGATGGCTCAGCATTTAAGTTGCTACTTGCTACTCTATCAGGGTCCCAGTACCTATTCGGCAGCTCACAACTGTTTATAACTCCAGTTCTGGAAGATCTGGCGCCCCCTTTTGGCCTCTACAGGCACCGTCCATTCCAGCGCACATACACACAAGCAGGTAAAACACACATATATCATTAAAAGAAACTTAAGAAAGCCATCTGTAACCTATGGATCAGCATGGGACTCTTCCTTCCCATTTCCTGCTGGCTTCAGGATCACCCTTAATATTTTCCACTTTGCAATGTGACTAAAAAGCTCCCAGACAGCATTTCTCTGTGTAGCACTGGCTGTCCTGGAACTCGCTCTGTAGACCAGGCTAGCTTTGAACTCAGAGACCCACCTGCCTCTGCCTCCTGGGTGCTGGGAGCAAAGGTGTGAGCCATCCCCTGATCTGCAGGGGTTTTTGTTTTTAATATCTGTCCCAGCAAGTCTTTTTTTCATAAAAAAGTATGAAAATTTCAAATTGTTACTTGTTAAAATCCTCGTATGAGACTCTAAGAGATTTGCACAAAGGGCTCCAATGTTCAGAAGACCTAAGGATCCAGTTTGTTGTCAAGAAGCTACAGACCAAAACTTTTATAGAATATAATAAAAGTTAATCATTAGAAAATGATAATGTTCCACAATGTCGGTTGTAAAGTTTCTAAATATGTCTATCAACCTCTGAGCTCACAGCACAGAGTTACAAATAGTCACAGACGCCCTCTGTGGCCCTAGCCCACACCACCACTTGTCCATCACACACAACTTGGACAATCACAGGCTCTTGGAAAGGAGACCTAGGGAGGGGCAGCCAGAGACTGCTCAAGGCAAAATTGGGGAACATCAGAGTCTGGGTTTAAACCATTTGTCTAACTCATGAGAAGAAGTTAGCCATGTAACCAGGGTGCATCCCTCTGTGAGAATCTCTGCCCTTAGGGAGACAGGGAACTTAAGGCCCAGGGATGCAATGAGAAGGTCCGAGCCCCCAGAGCTACCTTCAAATGGGAGGGGGCTTCCTAATTCATGAGATTATTTAACTAATGGCAAATCAAAGAACAAAATAGGGAATGCTAAAAAAGGGGGGGGGGGGGCTGGAGAGGTTAAGAGCACTGGCTGCTCTTCCAGAGGACCCAAGTTCAATTCCAAACACACACATAGCAGCTCACAACTCTCTATGACTCCACTCCCAGGGGATCTGACACCCCCACACCAATGCACATAAAATAAAATTAAATAAATTATTAAAAACAAACAAACAAACAAACAACAAAAGCAGGGCGGACTGCGAGTAGCCTACAGTGGCCAGGAAACTTCAGGACCCTCCTGTCTCATCCTGAGATCTGTGGGGATTTTGCTTATTTGTTTGTGTTTTTCACAGACATGCACCGTGCACTCGCTGTAGACTCCAGCAATCCGGGCTTTGACATGATCTCCGCATGGGAAAGAACCCAGCAGAGCATATACAAACACAGAATGGTCTTGGCCAGTGAGGTCTTCTTTCATTGATTATGATCCTGGATCATAAATATAGTGAGGTAGTGACCTAGGCAGGAGGTAGAGTTTAGGTAAAGGGCTATCTGGGTGGGATAGGGCAGAGTTGGAATTCAAAGTCAGGCTCAACGGGATCCCCTGTCCTCATACACTGCAGGGGACACGGACATTTCTGTTCCTCATTTATAAGACTCGGAGAAACTGAGTACCAGGATTTTATAGGCCGCCCAAAGCCAATGTTGGTCCTAGCCCTTCAGCTGCTCTCCCCGGCACCCAGCAGCCAACAGAGACCGAGACCTCGGTCAGCTCCAGGCCTGGAATTCCCCGAGGTCCGCCATACACTCACGGCGGCTCCCTCCCGTAGACTCCTCGGGGTCGGTTCCCCGCCCGATCGCGGACGCCCGTAGATCGGGACCCGCTGCAGACCCCTCCACCCTGCGCCCTCCCGGTGCAAGCTCCCGGTGTCACCCACGCGTGGACGCGACACCAGCCGAGTCCTCGGGGTCCGGGGTCCAGGGCCGCGCTTACCTAGCGGAGGCACAATGGCGCCGAGACCACAGAGCAGCAGCCACAGCAGCCACAGCGGCGGAGGCCGCATGGCCCGGGCGGCCCGGGACCGCGGGGTGGACGCCGCTCAGACCGGTACCGCGCGCGGCCATGGCGAGCCGAGCGCCCGCCTCTTCCCAGCCGGGCCGCAGAGCCGCCCAGCCCCGCCCGCGCCCCGCCTCCGCCCTGCCCGGGGGACTTTCCCGGGTGTTCCCGGGAACCACGGTCCCCCCGCTCCAGCCCAGCACCCCCCTTTCCAGCCTAGCACCCTGCAGCGGGGGCCCCGGCCGCACCCCACCGAGCCGACCTCCAGGCGTAGCCAGGGACCTTCGGGACCGTCCTTCTGGGGGCCTGCGAACACCCAAGCCCCACCTACCCCGCTTCCAGACTCCCGCTACCCAAAATTTGAGGATATGCCCATTTATTTTGAATTCTGTTCTCTTTAATGGCCCCAAAGTACATGCTAACCTTTGAACCCTTTTTAGCAGAAAGTTACTTAGGGGTATAGTAGAGAGGACCCGCTAGGACATCGTGTCACAGAGAAGGAGGAAGGAAAGCTAGAGGAACTTGACTCTTTGCTTCAGAATCTGTGGGTTTGGCCCTGTGTGCTGTGAAGCTTAGGAGGAAGTGACCCCGAATGGGGCAAGCAGAGGCTCCCAACCTGAGCCCTTCGCAGTGGCAAGCCTGTTAGTAGAGAAGTTTTCACCTGCTACCCTCCATCCTCCAGCTCAGCCACAAGGAAGGGGCAGCAAAAGGTGGAGGGGAGATGGAGACCTAGTCAAAGACGTGGGTCCTCCCACCCGGGATCAGCTGCACTTAGCCCCTGGGTCCTCCCCACTCCCTTCATTGTGTTTTGAGATAAGGTCTCAGGTAGCCCTGGCTGACTTCTAACGGGCTGTCAGCGAGTTGGCCTTGAACTTCAGATCCGTTCAAGATCCTCTAGGGGCCTAGACACCCTCCTTTTCTGTGTGTGCAACTCTTGAAGTTGGCCTGTGTACTGGCTGGTTTTGTGTGGCAACTTGACATAAGCTAGAGTTATCAGAGAGGGAGAAGCTTCCTCCCTGAGATCCAGCTGGAAGGCGTTTATTTTCTCATTTAGTGGTAGGGAGGTACCCATGGTGGTTGATGCCATCTCTGGGCTGGAAGTCCTGGCTATGGGAAGCAAGCCAGTAGCAGCAGCTTCCCCTCCAGGGCCTCTGCATCAGCTCCTGCCTCCAGGTCCCTGCCCTGCTTGAGTTCTTGTCCTGACCTCCTTCAGTGAAGAACAGCAATGTGGATGTGTAAGCTGAGTACCCCTTTCCTCTCCAGTTTGCATCTTGGTCATGGTGTTTTGTCACAGCAATAGGAACCATAGCTAAAACAGCCTGTTATAAAAATATGTGGTGAAATACCTAGCAAGAATTCAAACTATGCCTTTATTATTTCAAGACACAAAAATGTACTTATAGGCCAAGTGAGAACAGCAGGGTTTGTCGGGATCTTTTCAACATGATCTTTGAAAATGGCAAAGGAGAGAAAGTCTAACCCAGAGGCTGTGAATTAGGAATGAGTAGTGATTTCTCTCTCCTTTCCCCTCCCCCCGTTAATCATGTTTTGTTTGTTTGTTTGTTTTTGGATGAAGGGTGTCAGGTTAAGGAAAAGGGAACGTGTGTCTTAGCTGAGGCCATAAGGGGCTTGTCACCGCTGAGCCTTTTAGAAGGGAAATCTTGGGAAATGCTGCCACCCCGCCCCGCCCCACCCCTTCCGGAATCTCCCTCCTGAGCTCTTCTCTGCAGAAACTAAGAGGATTTGTTTCCCCTGCAGAAGTCATAAACACTGTGCAAATGTGTGTTCCTCAGATTGGCACCCTGTGCCTCAAGCATACAGTACCCCAAATACAAGTGATTCTCTCCCAAGGCGACTTTGTCAGAGCGAAGCCAACTCAGTGCTGGCTTGCACTCTCCTGCCCTTCCTGATGTCCCTGATAGCGGGCTCTAAACTTCTACTGAGATCTGGCAGCTGACGATAACAGGAACCCGGTTTGACTGGCATTTCCTGTGAAAGCGCATGGCACTCTTGGCTCTGTCTTCCCTTCTGTGCACCTGTACAGCCCTGAGTCATGTGCCTCCTTCCTGGGTGTTCTCTTTGTTCCCAGCTCCTTCTCCCCTTTGGAGGAAAGTTTACTGTGGCCACAGTGAAAAGATTAAACCACAGGGCATTTTATTCGCATCTTCCAAGACTGTGAGAGGAAGAGCTGTTCTTAGGCACTGTGTGCACACAGTTACATAATCCTAAAATATTTATTTCATGTGTATGTGCATTGTGTGTGTGTGTGTGCACGTGCCTGTGTGTGTACCACATGTGTGCAAGAGCCTGTGAGATCAAAAGAGACATCACATTCCCTGGAACTGAAGTTATAGGTGGCTGTGAGCTGCCATGTGGGTGCTGGGAATTAAACCCTGGTTCTCTGATGTGGGAGGTCCTTCTGTCTATGTGTTGCTTTTATTGGTTAATAAATAAAGAAACTGGCTTGGCCTATAGCAAGGTAGAAGGAAGGCGGAGTCCGAGAGAAGCCATGTAGCCCCCGCTGGAGCCAGATGGAACTTTACCCGGTAAGCCATAGGCACGTGATAATACACAGATTAATGGAGATGGGTTAATTAAGCCAATAGGAAGCTATAGCTAATGGGCCAAGCAGTGTATTAAATAATATAGTTTCTGTGTGATTATTTCGGGGCTAAGAGGCCGGGAACTAACTAGTGGCCTTTCTTCAACAGCCCTCTGTAAGAGTAGCCAGCACTCTTAACTTCTGAGCCATCTCTCCAGACCCTGGTCATGTGCTTTTGTGAAATCTGCAAAGTCAGAAGGGGATTTGAGCCGCTTTGGTAAGAGCTCTGTGTCTTTACTCTTCGAGTCTCTTTCTGACACCCTTGCCATGTAGGGAAGTGTTGAGGTCGCTGAGTCTTGAGAAACGCCGTGATGTTTAGTATGTCGATGCGGATCAGGAGTAACTGTAGCTGTGAAATTGAAAAAGAAACTTTCTAAGTCAACAACAACAAAAAACCAGTTTTGGGGCTAGAGGTTTGGCTCAGCAGGAAGAGCACTGGCTGTTCTTGCAGAGGACCCAAATCCAGTTCTCCTCACCATGGCAGCAGCCCTGTCTCCCGCAACTCCAGCTCCAGGGGATCCAGCACCTCTTTAGGACTCTGGGCCCTGCACTCACATTGCACAGACACACAGACACACATACTGTGAAGTAAAATATTTTTAAAAAGCAAATTCTGGGGATGGAGAGATGGCTCAGAGGTTAAGAGCATTGCCTGCTCTTCCAAAGGTCCTGAGTTCAATTCCCAGCAACCACATGGTGGCTCACAACCATCTGTAATGAGGTCTGGTGCCCTCTTCTGGCCTGCAGGCATACACACAGACAGAATATTGTATACATAATAAATAAATAAATAAATATTTTTTTAAAAAAGCAAATTCTGGCTAATCATGCCAGAGGAAAGACGAGGTTTATTGTATGTAAACACACACATGTGACCATGTTCACATACATAGAGATCAGCCCTTGGCATTTTATGTCGCGCTTACACACATCTCAACTGTGACGTTAAAAGTGACCTTTCTAACTTATACTTTATAAGTCATGCCTCAGAAGGAACTCAAGCACCTTCCTGTCTCTAGATGATCCTGTGCAAGGTCAGCACAGAGGCAAGAATGACTTACTAGTAAGAGCAGGCAAAGGGACTTATAGCATGGTGGGCGGTCACAACATTTCCTTATGTTTTCTAGGTTTTGTGAAGCTAGTGTACTTGGCAGCCTTAATGCTAGTGTATTTAGAAGCCTTAAAATGGTTATCTGTTGTTTATTTTCCCATTCTAAATTAATATTTACCATCCTGCCTAATTTTATATTCTTTATTGTATATTATTTTATATGAAGAGAGCTCACATAATATTATATGAACTTTGGTTCTAAGATTTGAATCTGCCCCACCTTTCCCAAAGATTTCCTACGTTGGGTCCCTCAGTGCGCCAGGTTCCGACTCCGTTGCACAGATTCGGAAGCCATCAGAGCTAGGTACTGTTCCCAGGAGTGGATCTGTATTGTGTCATCTTTGTGACCTGTGACCCCACTTCCTAGAGTTCCTCTCCCGGCCTGAGTCAGAATGAGGGGAACAAGTGTTTCTACACAGGGTTCACTGGGTAGCAGAAAGTGCACAACCTTAGTCCTCATTCTTGGGAGGGTTGGGTTGAGTGGAATCGGGTCACAGCTCATAGAGCATGGCTTATCTGTTGGCGTCCTGGATGGCAGGAACGATCCCCTGACGGATATTCCACCATGGCTGCTTCATCTCTGCAGGACACACGCATGAATATTCAAGTTGGAGGTCGGATAGTGGAGAGACACCGGGGGGACTGGATTCTGGATAGTCTTAGGTGTTAGCTCGTCCCTGCTTCCACTACTTCCTGCTCACTTCCTCCCAATCTCCTGCCTAAGCACTTCTTCCTCAGACATAAGAAAGACAAGGCCACATAGACTGTGCTCAACTCTTATAATGGTATCAGATCAAATCTTTATAATACCCTATTCACATACACGCATGTGCGCTTACATACATGCACAATGGCTCGGCTCCTCTCATCAAAGCCTGGCTTGCTGAACTTGCCGTAGATCACATGACTGATAAGTGCTGGGGTTGGCTCCCTTACTCTTACCTGATTTCAAAGCCTACTGCAGCTCATGTCTAGCTTCTGCTGCTGCCGTTCTTTCTCCCGTAGCCAGCCCTGTTCTGAGGCCAAGTTCCCGCTCCCGTAGCCAGCCCTGTTCTGAGGCCAAGTTCATTCTCCCGTAACTTGCCCTGTTCTGAGGCCTAGTTCATTCTCCCTTAGCCAGCTCTGTTCTGAGGCCCATTTGCCCGCTGCTCCTTGCTCTACTGGCAAGTCTCTGTAACTGTATCTCTTAAAGGCCACCTGTGCCTGCTTCTCTGCTTCTGCTGCTGTGGATTTACCAGCTGGCTCCTCTTCCTGTCCTCGCCAGGCCCCCTGTTCCCATGCTTAAATTCAGAGTTCAGTCTCCCATCTAGGCTCATCTCTGCTCCCAGAGAACTTTGGGGCCTGTCCTCACTACCATCTCTTATTGCTTGAGACCACATTGTTGCTCTCTGTGGGGTGACACCTCCA